TAAAGGGAGAATGGAAAAGGTGGTCCTTCCATGCAAATTAGCCCCCAAATCTGAGGGCTGTAGCCCCCTCCAACAAGGAAAGCAGAGCAAAAACACAGCCTTAAGGGTGCTGTGCTCTCAGGGAAAAACCCTTTTAAAAACCAACTAACCAATCAAAAAATGAAAAAAAAAAAAAAAAAAAGAGGCCAAAAAACCTTCAGAGATCTGTGTGATAGACAAATACTACTAATATTGTTTTGTGGTGCTTTGGTAAGATTTTAGTTGCTGTTATAACATCTGGAGTCATCACTCCCTATTTTTTCCTGTCTTACCCATACAAGTGTCCTGGTTGAGGCCACTGATGCTGGAGTTAATGTAATAAAAAGTTGTATGTGATTCCATTAAATACTCACTCCTAAAAATCTCAGATAAAAGTGACAGGCCTCAACAGAACAAAGAAAAAAGAACTTGCATTTATGAGCAGGTTCATGATCTGGGAGGCTGCCTTTTGGAGGGGTTTGGTGGTTGTTTCCCCAATGCTTCCTACACTTAATATTTTTAAATTATAACCTTTTAGGAAAAAAAAAGGAGTTCTTTTCATAAGGGACCTGCAATTTCTGACTGTTTCCACTTAGGAAGAATATAAACCATGTGTGAGAATGAAAGGAAGGGCAAGCTAAGAAGGAATATTAAATGTGTGTCTTTCTTGGAAAATCTGAAACCGTGTTCTTTTGCAGGGGTTACCTATTGATGACATAAACTACATCTGAGAACCAGCTATAAACAGATTAGGATAAAAGGTAACTTGTTTACTTTGTGTACAGTCAGATATACTCATCCTCTACCTCTTAAAGCAACATTGCAGTGAAGGCTTTAAGCATATACTCAATTTTAAGGAACAAACTAACATTTTGCGTTGCTATTTCTGTGCTTCCAGAGTAAAAAAAAGCAGCTCCATTGCCCCAAGGATCTGATTTTTTCTTTTTTCCCAAAATAAAACAGGGAAAGAAATGCATATAAAATACATATTCACCACTGCTTTAACTAAACTCACGCTTAACTCTGTAGTGTAAGAAATTTCAAGTGGTAGATGATTGTGTGTATCTCTCTGTGTGCTCATGCACATGACACAACGAGACCTCAAAACCTGGCCAAGACCATATTGCCCACAGAACCTTAATTTTCCCCTCTTTTCATATTCTGTAGCTTAAACGTGTGCATATTAAACAGGTGTGCATATTCAGTTTGCATTTAAATGAGTGTTCTTGTTTTATCAGGGTATACAAAATGCCAGGTTTCACTTTGCAGAATTTTTTGCCTTATTTATTTAAGGCTGCAATGTCTTTCAAAAGAGGTAAGAGACTCATTGCTGTCAATTGATGTTGACATACAGAAATTTGTAATTTGTTATTGGCAAAACCACCAAACGACTGCTAAAAAATATCAGCAGCATAACTAGGGAAACTTTAATACTGTGCTAAATATTCTTTTGTTTAAATTGCTTTTAATTAAGGTTTTCCACAACCCTAGGAAAGATTTGAATGGGCCATATTTATGAATGCCTTCAAATTTCAGGTAATAATTGCTAATCTGCTTCACAAACTACCATTTGACAGGCAGATTTCTTTTTAAGCCTGCACTAACCTTTGAATCAAACATTATTTTGCCAGAAAATGCTAGGTAAAAAAAATAAGTTTTTTTAAACATTCCAAAATGTTGTTATAAACCTGCAGAAGAAATCTCACAGAGTGGTGATGTTCACAATGAACTATGTTATAGTTCACAATAATGTAGCTCACCATAATATAGTTCACAAAAATACAGTTCACTATAACATAGTTCACAAGGAACTATATTAATTGTATTGCTTTTTAATACAAAGAACTGCATAAATGCTCTGTTAAATTAGACTTACATATTCTAATCAATAGAGCATCAGGTGAGTACTATCTTCTTTTTATTTACTGATATCAGCACCTCTCCATTTTGGGTGCCCAAAACGACACCCGAAATATCCCAATTATTGCAATGTGCTGAGCATCAGTTTTCTGAAAATAAACCTTCCTGACAGTACCTCATATGGGGCTCTTTCAAGTATTAGGCCCTTTTTTTTTTTGCTATACTCAAGGTTTTCCCTGGTTACTCCCCATAGTTTATCCATATGTACTTTTAACGTTTCTAAGAGAGGCAAAGGCTTCAAAATCAGAAGAACAGTTATCCAAAGTATCCCATTATTGCCTTCCACCCTGTATGAAGAAGATAATGATTTAGGGTTGAAGTCATTCTAAGTGGTTCAAAGGAAAGAAGCCAGTCCTGCCTGACCACACACATTTTAAGCTGAAAAAAGAGATCTAGGTGTGCATTTTGCATTTGATATTTCCACCAGTGCACAAAACCGTACCCCATTTCTCTGAAATTTGGATTAGGAAAGGTTTTCCAGCTTCTGGACAATAAGAATCCACTATAAATACCCAATTTAGAAATAAAAACCATAGGGGTTTTTTATTTGTTTGGGTTTTGTTTGGTTGGTTGGTTTTTTCCACTGTCAGCCATAGGTTTGTGTGTTTGTATGAATAAATCAGGACTTTCCCTGTTATAATTCAAAGCATACACTGGATTAATACTGAACAGACATTCTACCATGGTAATAAAATACTAACAGTTCAGAATAACCACTTTAAAGGCCCAATCTCCAATTTCCCTCATGAATGGAGATACTTATCTCTGGGAATCTTAACAAATCAATCATCTGGTTTTTATTTTAGTGAATAAACGTGGTTATGACCACAGCTGAGCTCTGCAGACCTGTTCTATTCCCCCAAATGAAAAGTGATAAAGGATGCAGCAGATTATGCTTTTTCCTGTTAATAAACTTCAACCCTTAACCTAAGTCAGGCCTTTCTCAAGATGGACAATTATTCAATTCTTAGTTGCTTTGCTGCAACGGGGAGTAGAGAGGGGAGATAAATCATCTCTTTTCCTTTTATTACATCCATCCTTTCCAACTGCTGCCCACAGCATGTTATTGTAACACTCAGCACAGCAGAATGAGCAGCTCTCTGTTTCCTGCTCAAATGTAGAAATGCTATTACAGGCAATCATTTCCTGGAGGAAAGACTTGATATTTTGGTGTTTTGTGCCCTGCTCAGTGTGGCAATGAGGGGACCTGGAGGTGTCAGAAGCAGTTCCAGTGCCCGTGGAGGGCCAAGGGTCCTGCCCTGGCTTCTGCTGACCCTGCTGCTGCCCCCAAACACTTGGGGCTGTCGGGGGAAAAGTTATCAGGACGAACTTCCCAAGAAAGAAACCAGAAAAATATACAAAAATCTCCAAGAAACAATTTCCAAAGTTGGAACCTTAATGGCTTTTTTTTGGCTCCTAGCAAAAGCAAAATTTCTCCCTTAAATCCAACAATATTTCTGCTGCAGGTCTGAATGCCTGATGGGCAGATACTGAGGGGGGTTGTGCTCAAACAGAATGGAAAGGTCAAGCTTCCTTTTTTTCTCCAGGAGTTCTGGAATTTTCTGTCCTTCTCTTGTCTGCCTTCCCTGTCTGTGTTGGGCAGACTGACAAAACTGGCTTCTTGTCTTTTTGGCCAACTTTTCACTAAAACTTGCCTGCAGAATATACCACATCATTTTCTGAAATGTGTGACAAGCTTGTAAACTGAGTCCTATAAATTTAAATATTCTTTTAATGCTGGTCACACCATGATAAAAACCAGCTACTTACAGTCCTGACTAAATAAAAATCTAAAAACAGAGTGACATCTTTAAGAGTTTCACTGAGCAACTGGAATTTTTCTGTGAGTGAAGCAGCCCTTTCTTATTTGCTGCTTCAAAGCTTCCTTCATTCACTTCAGTACCTCTTCACTAGATGTTTTGCATCTAAAAGCAGGTTCTGTCAGGAATTCAGCGTTTAGACATCTGCTTCTTCCAAGAAATTTGTTACCATGTTTATTTTGTTGTTTCAACACTGTCCTTTAACTTGTCTGGCTCCCTCTGCCTTAATGCTTACCTGCCAGTGAATTTAGAGATAACAAATCTACTCTTTCTCCTTTCATGTAAAGTTTCATCCCTTAGCCTGGAATCATAAATAGATTTCTTATAACAAGAATGTCTAATCTTTTTATAAGAAATAGATTTCTTATTTCCTTGTTCCTTCCTGTACGCCTTTCCTGGACATGAGTGACCTGTGTTACACTCAGGCTTCCAGATGGAATAATCTTTTATCTGACAACCTGTATTGCTTAATGAATGTGTAGAATCATCTAAAGTATATCCTCCATAAGCAGTAGAAAATACATCCAGTGAAACTGAGAAAAAATGCCACAGAAGCCTCGAATAAAATCAGAATCTTCATGCTCCGTCTCATACATCCTACACTCTAGAAGTTAGAAGCTGTGCACACCATTTTTGAGGCGTGCACAGCTAATAAAAATATCAGTGGTTAGCAGTAAAAAACAAACAAACAAAACCCACCAAAAAAACCCAGTCCTTATGTCCTGGTAGTAGAGAAATTTTTTTCTGATTTTACTGTATAACAGAAGAGACAGAAAAGACATTTTTTTCTATCAACCCAGAACTGATTTTCAGTGGGGATTCCTGTTGCCATTAATATTAATAGGACTCGGGTCTCATTCACCTAACCTCCCTCCAGGATAGAAATAAATAATAAAAAAAAAAAAAAAAATTAAAAAAAAAAATTAAAAACTACTGGAAACTCCCGTTTTAACAGCTAAAACTTGCTAAACGACTCGCTGAGAGCATCTGCTGTACACAAAGTAACCACGTCCCGGCTTTTTCCGGGGAGGTGCGAACTGCTAGAAATCCCCGGGGACAGAAGGGGAAGGGGGCAGACAGAGCAGCTGAGTCTCAAGTGACCGCTACTGTTAAGTTGGCATCTCTGTAGGTCTGATGCATTAAGAATACACACTCACGCCCAGCCGCAGCAGCAGAGGTGCTGGTAGGAGAGGAAAGAGCATTGGATAACGATACGTGACTAGGGCTAGAAATATTGGTTACATCCTGGGTCTGGCTTGTGACGGAGGACTGTCTCCTTAGAGCCCCCTGAAAGGAAGTGCCACTCTTGAAAGTATTGACTACTTCGATCTGTAACGGAGGAAAGAACGAGACAAGTTGCTTTAAAGTATGGATACAGTTGCATTCACTGACAGGAATAATCGCGAGAAACAATAAATCACACAGTTTCACGTCGGTCGGAATAAATAGCTTTTTTTTTAAGCGTTCCCTTGTAGCGTTTCTTAGGAAGGAGGTGGTTCAAATTTTCTGTCTGGATAAAATGAAGCAGCTCCACAGGAGGCAGTGGGGGGCTGCATCAGTTTAAACAACGAGAAGATTTGAAGTGACAATCCTAAAAATTTAAGCTGTTTTATTTACACGTAAATAAAATAAACTGGAATACTTGATTTAACTGATCTCCACTTTTTTTTTTTTTTTTTCCCTACTGGAATACTTGATATAACTAATCTCCAATTTTTTTTTTTTTTTCCTACTGAGAATAAAATTATGCTGTTATTACTCTCCAGGTGTTCTTCCAGAGGGAGGAAAATTCAGTCACTCAATTGGATTTTTTGGGGGGGAGATAAGGAGGATACCCAAGCAAACTAGGAAAACTTAAATATTCAAAATATTACTCCATTTTGTCTACAAAACCAGGGTTGTTCAGCACACTAGTTTGGTAAAATAAGTGTTCCAATGTTTTATTTTACTTCTTCTATCATGAAAGTTTAGCATAATGATAATAAATATGTTTTAATAACTAGTTATATAGTTATAATAAGTAACTTTTTATAACTAGAGATTTAAAAATTTTAATATTTCATCTTTATACTGAGCACTTAAAATCACACAGAAAACTATGTAGAACCGGATCTACTATTGAAGCAAACAACATTACAAATTTCTACTTGTTATTTTCATGTCTGTGATATTCAGTGTTTGATATATCCATCCTGAATACCTTCCTGAGTGCTTTTATTCATCACCACAGAAAACGAGTTAAAACCAGAGCTGAGTATTTCAAGGCACTCTTCATCACCAGCATAACCTGACAAAAAGCAGGCTTTGTGTACAAACATAAACCCAGGGATTGGCAGGAGATTATAATCAAGGAACAAATATATCCTAAAAATCCCTGCACACCAAAATGCCCCCTCTGTTCCATCAGTACAACCACAACAGGGCAAACAGCAGGAATATCCATCAGAGGGATTCCACCAACTACTCATTTGAAGTAACCCACTGTTACTGGATCCTGCAGCCCAGATTTCTGAAGATACAAAGCCTAGAAAGTAGTTGGGAGAAAGTAAAGTGGTGGTAGTATATTTATCTATTAAAACAACACAAATCCAAATTTTAACCCTCCTGAATTTTCCAAATGGAAAGCACTATAAGAAATTGGCTGTTATTTTCTGCTGTGGTCAATCTTAGGGTTTAAATCAGCTGGTATGGCTGCTTTTTTGCTAGTAGGGATGTTTCTCTTCCCATAATCTTATCTTTGGACCTCGTTGGTTTAATTTCCTGCATGTTTATATGGGAATAATCATACCACAGGCAGCTGTAAAAGGGATCAGAGGTTGCTGCTGTAAAACTGTCACACTGAACTTTTACTTCACAATTTTTTCACGGGCCCTCTGTTTGAGTCCTGATGACCACACCCATTTCAACGTGCACACTCAGAGTTGTACAGGATTAAGCAGTCACCATAACACTGTAGTGGTTTTGGCAGCAGAGTTACATGTCCAGTAAAAAAAAATCACATTAAAAAACCCAACAAAACAGTACAACATGAGGTGAGTTAGCATATGGAATAGGGGTACAAGGGAATCATTAACTATGGTTCACACTGGCATCTAGAAAAAAAAAGCCATGTGGCTCAAACCATTGGTTATGTGGTATATTAAATACTCACCTGAAATCCTCAGTGTATAAAGGTAGAATTAAATACAGATCTTGGGTTTTCATCACATACCCCAGGTGACAGAGCACTCTTCAAAAGAGACCATTCGAAAAAAGGTTTTAAAGACTCGCCTGCTGAGAGCATGAAGTGTGTGGAAGACACAGACGATAAATCCTGAGCCAAAGGGCATTTCTAGAGGTACAAACGCCTTCCTAGGAGACTGAAAGACCTCAGCATAAGAGTGAAAAGATAAGGGAAGATCTGCATTTAAGAGTTTCCTCAGAGAGCAAGAATTACAGGCGTGTAATTTACTTGTTCTCCTGAAGAAAGTAACTACAGCTCTTCATGAATATAATTCACAGTGGGAGGATGACAACCTTTCCAGGATCTTAAAAGCTGAACATTCAGGGCTTTGTTCTGCCTGAAGCCAAGAAAGAGGAGAACAACTTGGCCCAAAAGTTTCTCTTCTCAACCAAGAAAATGACAAAGAAGAAAGAGTTCATGGAAATAAAAGGTGCATTTTAAATTAAGATGCAGCTGTTTAATTACAAGGGAATGAGTTTATTTGGTATAATTCAAGTTGCTAAAGAGAAGAAAGTAAGTGACAAAGTCACACATCATGAAAAGTTTAAAAAATTTCCAACAAAATGTAGGATGCAGTCGTGTTTTGATTACAGGTCTTTAGGTGGAGAAAAACAGTCCTGTCCTATTTTGAGGCTTCTTTGTAAGGTTGGCATTTTTCACACCTGTCTCGTTTTTCTGGATGTTCTATACTCTAGAAGCTCCACATATTTTAGGTGTGCATGGCTAATAAAAATATCAGTTATTAGCAGTAAAAGAAATAGAACAGTCTCACACTAGACAGAATAATCCTGGCAGAACAAGTCTTTTTTTCCTGTTCTTTTTTAATGCAGAACTCATTTTGACAAAGCATTTCTGTTGTCACTAATGTTGATAGGACCCAGGTCTCATTCACCTCATCTCCAACCAGGATATTAATTTTTAGAGAATCAAACCAAAAAGCTTTCTGAAAGAAATAAAACAGTTTCCATTCCACTTCCACGTGGCTACTGCCATGTTTTCTATATTAAAAGCTATAAAATGAGGTGCTAGCTTTTAATCTAACTTCAGAACCACTTGCCAGGAGCGACCTTCATTGCTAGAGGGTTTGAATTAGCTCAAGAGAAAAGTTTTGATACAGAAAGGAAGGGGAAAAAATGCAGTACAGCACTTCTGTGTATTTTTTAGTATCTGAAGAGGAAAGATCTTCGTTTAAGTAGCTGTTCACATATCACCTGCATGTTTTTCTGTTTTACCTTTTATTCTCAAAACATTTCTAGACACTTATTTCCCACTTGATGCAGATAAAGCAAACTGAATTGCAGGATGAATGAAGCAGAGGAGGAAAGAATCAGACCAGTGGTGTAAAAATCTGACATTTAACTGAAAAAAGTTTTCTAATCTCCACACTCCAGAAAGTTTTCATTCTCAAATGTGAGGTGACCAGAGAAAATTTTCAGTGCACAACTTAAAAAGATGCAAAGGGTTTTGGATGTTACTCAGATTATGCAGTTTTGCCTGAAGTGACCCTGGTGAACTTTCCAAAGGCTGTTAGACCTGCCAAGAGGGGGTGATCAGTCTCGTCTCTTCCTGCAGAACCAAGAATTCGTGAGAACTGCAACAAAGACTTGGGACAAGTTGCTGAAAAGCAGCCAAGGTTGAAAAATCCAGTCTTTTATGCAACTTCAGACCACCTCTACATCTCCCTCAAACTTGCATAAGTAACTAAGATGAGCCACTTGTGAAACTTCACATGTCAGCGGTCTGAGAGAACTAGCTAGTAAGGAAAAACACTCTTCCCTTCAGAGAAGGAGAACACAAATCCATCCAGAGAATCCTTACAGTATAATTACAACACAACAAAATATCTGAGCGACCAAAAGGAGAAAAAAAAAAAAAAAAAAAGAAAAAAAAGAAAATCAGAAGTCAATAGCCAGTCCTTGGCTTGGTTCTCTGCATTTTTCATACTCATTTCTTTCAAGTAAATTCATGCATGTCTTCATAGAAATAGGTCTGACATTTCAGTGTGAAGAGTCTCAGTGGAAATCCCTTCTCTAGGTTTGAACCCTCTGTTCTGAGAGAGGATGCAAAAAAAGAAATGTCTTTAACACTGCAAAGTTTTGTCCATTTGGATGAGTTTTCGCTGCAAGGGAGACCTGAAAACAAACTCCAGCACTACTGTAGATGCTCTATAACTGTTTTAGAACTGAAGGCTTTTGTTGGGTGCTGTGGCTTTCTGTCCAATAACGACTGAATAGAAAAATAAGTAAAAATAGTCTAATTTACAGCACTGGATGGTGGAAACTGGTCTTTTTAGGATTTGAATGTTCAAACTAGTTGTGAGTCTAGAGTTTATTCCTGGTCTCACTGTCATCCTCATATATATATAAAGTGAGGGGATGCTCTACCTTCTCCTTCCGCATCTCCAGGAGTGCATTAGACATCAGAGGATTCTCGCAAATCCTCCAGCTCCCCAAGGATGCTACAGACATCCTCATCTTCTTCCATCAGCTCTTCTTTAGCTGGCTTCCTGAGAAACGTAGTACAAGTGTATGAATTCATTGGGATGGCCACAACACACAGCACACGAGGATGTGCTCAGCTCGAGGTCCATCCAGCACTGGATCTAATTTCACCTGTATGTAAATTCATCACTCTCCAGTGGACACCTCAGGACCATTTGTTGTCCCATTTCCTTTTTTTTTTTTTTTTTTTTCCCAATTATCATTCCACGGGTGTGAAATGGATGTAAAAATCAAAGTCACTGAGTAAACAAAACGAGGGGGAAAAAAAAATCACCACAGAGGCCTCTTGGCAGAGAAGAAATAATAAATCCTACTGAAGGTAGTTCTACGACTAAGAGCAGAAAGGAAACCAAGAAGATGGATGTTAGCAAATATAATTAATGTTCATTATGTTTTAAAGAGTATAAAAGAAAAAATTATCTGTGAATTAAGTGGACAAAGATTCGCAGAACTAAAAGCTACCTCTCAGACTAGAGAAAGGACTTGAAAGGATGCAATTTGGGTTTTTTTGTGCTTGTTTACACTCACCACAACCAGAAAGACATCCTGACAGAAATGCCAACAGACAACACTGCTCCTAGAGCCACCAGGAAGAAAAGAATGCACGTTTAGAGATCATCTTTCCATAAAGATCACCATTACCTGGGCACCTGTTTGTCACCTCTGCACTGTGCCAGTTTGAATTTTCTCTGATGACGAGTGCTCCTCACTAAAGGAGTCGAGACCCAAAACCTCAAAGCTGGAGATCCGTATTTAATTACTTACCACAGAACCTGGAGAAATTCCCAAACCCTTAATCTCCCTGCCACCAGTTTCCACCCTCTTTTATGCTCTGTGGATGCACTAAAGACACCCCAACTGCCCTAGTTTTTTTCCATAAGTTGCATCGTTGCATCTTTATCTCAAAAAAAAAAAAAAATCAATTTGTAGATGGGAAAAAACCAGAACGTTCTGTTTGTCTGGGGTGACAACAAACCCCCAAATCTTCTGAGATGAAAATGCTGTTTAGAAGATTCTCTAAAGAAAAATAAAAAATCTTAATTGTTCACCTCTTTTCCTCCTAAGCCTCAGGTCGAACACTCACAGCTGATATCTGCTCTCTTCTGCAAGCCAGCAGAAATACTTGATTTTAAAAAGATCAAGCAGAGCACATCTGAGTGCAATAAAACACTATTTCACTGCAATGGAAAAGGCAAAATAACTCAATTTTTTAGCACTCCAGGAGAAATTTTCCTAGCAAAGGTAATCTGTGTTATATTTAGTACCATGATTCAGTGCAAAGTGGATTTTTGTATTTAGCAAAAGTTGAGGATAGATATTTCTAAGAAATCATCTGTAGCAGCCAACACATACACCTCAGTATTTGATGGATTCTTAGGCCCTTCCTATGAAAAATAAATCCAGAACCACATTTTTCACTACTGAACATGAAAGAAAACCAATCCCTTTTAATCAGGATATATATGTGGTGGTGCCAGAACGGAACAGATTTATTTATTTTTTTTTAATCAAATTGTACTTCATACTTCAGACTCAACAATTTAAATTACTCTGTTACTGCAGAAGTGGCAGCAACTATATATTTTTGACAAAATAAAACACTGTGTTTTAGGAAACCTTCATAACATTATCACAGCTGATGTTTTCCAGCACTATTTCATGTCTTGTCATCACCAAAGTAGAAAACGACCGTCCATTCACAGTACCCCCAAAACACATATTCCTATCTTTGCAGATTCTCATTCTATAATCTTTTCAATTTATCTTTCCTGCTCTACAGACATCCCTCTGTTGAGTTCTCCTGTTTTATTTTCCACGTGTTCCTCCTTTGCAAACAGCCCGGCAGTTCCCAACTACCATCCTTCACACACACGAACACTCTGGGGGCTTTCCTTTTAACATTATCTTGCCTTCACCTCAGATTAAGCATTTCTTTGGGTTTGTTTTGGTTTGGCTTTTTTTTTTTTTTTTGCCCATGTGGGCATTTACTTTCAGCATACCTGGGTTTGGATTCTGTTGAGCCCTCTGAACCAGAGAATTTGTCCACGTCGAAGTTCTCTCTCTGCATGATCGATTTCCTCAACATCCTCATTGAGTTCTTCTTCAGGGACCTCCTCCTTCTCAGTGAGCCTCCCTGCCTCCTTTAAAAACTTTAGCCTACTTGTTGGGATGGTTGCAATGACCTAAAATTACAAAAAAGTACTGAAAACATATAAGCCTCATTCAATAATAACAGTATAATAATATGTTCATTATTAAAAAGGGATAATATTTTAATAAGATCAATAATTTCCAGGAATGTTGAGTGTTAATAGTACTTTATACTCATACAACTCCATTTTAGTCCAGAAATACTTAGTTTACTGTGTAAAAAATGAACCACATGAAACCACATTGGCAATACTCAGCTGTGGAGCAAGTTCGAGGCTGGGAAAATTGTCATCCTTTCTTGAAAAAAAAACTAAAAGAAAAGTATTTTAATGTCATAATGGAAAAAAAAAATTGCAAGATTGATGCTGCTGCAATTAGTTTGGGGCATTTCTAGTGATTTATGTTAAAGGGAGCTGAAAACTCGCTGCATCTCATGCTTATGAATCATCTCACACCACATGGGTGTGTGGATTTGGCTTCCCTTTGTTTTAGCAAGTTGAAATGGTTTTCCTGGCATTTACCAAAACTGAGGTTTCTGGAAGGTGTGGATCTGCCTGTCTCCCTGTTGGACTTTTCATAGGGCTTACTCTGTGACCTTCTTACTAATAAATTCTGATTAGCTAAACCCCTCTTCTAATTCTGTTCGTCCACCCAAGCTGTCCCTGGAAGTAATTAACACAGGAGATAGCTAATAATCTTAAAAAAATTGCAAATACTGTAGTTAGACATCGTAATAACACAATTATTTAAAATCCATTTCAGTGTTGCCCTCTGGAGCAGTCATTTTTCTCTTTGTTCTGATTTTTTTGTTGGTCTGAATAAAAATAGGGGCAGTTGGCTATTTAAACAAGACATTACCTGGGACACCTAAAGTAAATCTCCTACAAAGTTAACTATTAGACCCATTTAGCAAAAAAGTGCTGGAAATTTCTTTTCTGTTTGTCTTGCTTTCAGCAGTTCTGAAATCACATCTCTGAAGCCCAGATGTATGAAAGATGGAGAGAGAATCAAGACAGTTGCAGCAGAGTTGGTGAGGACAGTTTTGGAAAAGTGGAATGGATACAGGGAAGAACATGTGGAAAGGTACCAAAATAAACCTTTGGGTTTGCTGAGGGTCTCCTTGAACTTCATCATCCACAAGTTCACTTTTTAAATATTAGTTTTAAAGACAGTGAAAGAAATGTAAAAAAACCCAAACAAACAAGCAAAGCAAAACCAAAAAGCCCCCCAAAAATTAATGAATGGGTGTGACACAAGCAAAGACAGAAGAGGAGAAAAAAAACCCAGAAGGGAAGTGCTAGTGATTTAAATACTTACTGAAAGGTCTTCAGCTTCCCAGCTTTGAAAACACTACAATGTCAGCACTCTACAGACAGAAGCTACTTGAGACTGTTTGGGATCTGATGAAGCTGATGGTGATGAAGCACTTTCAAGCCAGTGCACACAGAAACAACTGGACTGGGTGGAGATTCTGTGCCCCAGAGCAAACCTCTCCTTCATGACCTCTCTCAGCCAAGATAAGATAAAATTCTGCTTTAATTCTTTCCTTAGGGTGCTTACATGGCTGTGAGTTCATCTGTTTTCCCAGACCTGCCATTAGCTCACGTAATGGCAGACTCAACAGACTGGATGCAGATTAAGGAACAAAATATTATTCCCAGAAAAATCATCTTAGTTCTAAAAAGTGATCAGTAATTCTGGAAATGCAGCATGAAATATTGTAGAAAGCCTTGATTTTCAGAAGCGATGAGGGCTGTCTGTTAGAAAACTGTCCCTCAAAGCATCTCAGACCGACTTCCTAAAAACTAAACACCTTAAATTGCGTTTAAAAGTGCCAACTTTGACATCGAAACTTGAAAATCTCGATTGGTTTAGTGGTTCATAAGAACAGCAGGTTCAGGAGGTGGATTGAAAAAAAAAAAAAAAGGGTAACAAATTTGGTTTGTGCTGAACTAGAATTAGTCATAGCAGGAGAGAAAAGGCTGAGAAGAAAGAAAAGCAGCATTTCTAAAGGAAAAGAAGTCCCTCTCACAGTAGAGCTCCATGAGGAGAGGACTTGCCAAAGACTGTGACTCACATAAATATGGACAAATTGTATTTTTTTTTTTTAGGTTGTGTTTTTTCTTTTCTGGTCACTAAATAATGACCACAAAAGAAAGATTTTTTTTTTTTTTTTTTAGTGTGTGTGTGTATTTGCTTTCTTTTTAGTGATAAAATTGTTGAGATATTCCAATACCTGTGTTAATTTATTGGTTAATATTTTGCAATAAGACTTGGGAACTAAATTGAAAACAAATGCTGATATTATTATTAGTTTTCAGTGGTTATGTAATAACCATGTATAACAAAATTTAGAAGCCAAAAAGTACATTGATCAAAGGCTGTGGGAAATTCTTCACAGCTGAATGGTCTAAAAGCTGGAAGTTGGTATTTTCCTATCAGCTGAAAGAAAAAAGAAATCTTTCCTTTCTAAGATTGTAATTCTAGATCTTCCTCCTGCTTCATCATAACTTAAATCCCATCTTCAGGTAATAATTGCAGTAGAACCCTCAGCAACATTTACAATAAAAGCTGTTCTGATTCTGAGCTTGTTTCTGAACTGCCCAAAAAGTTATTTTTTTCTCCATAAGAGAGCAAACAATCAGTTTTGAAATCTGTCATCTCTTCATTACAAGTCATATCAGTATTCAGCTGCAGTTGGCAATCTCTTCCCCTCTTCCTTCATAGTGACAAACTGTTGATCTACAAGTATCTTTACATCTGAGAGAAAAAAGTGTAACTTCACATTTTGCTTTACTGTATCGGGTGGCACCAACCTAAATACGCAAATAATGCATTCAAAGATGAAAAAAATATTATTATTAACTTTGCAATATGTGTTTGTACTTCAAAGAGTAATGTACTATTTTAACAATAGTGATTGTGTTTGTATTATTACTCCCAGACAGATAATCCCATCTGATTTAAGGATCTCATTGACATTTGCTTTTACATCTATGTATAATTATGCATTAGCTAATGATGACACAGGATATAGCAGAAATTTCAAATGACACATTAATTTAACTGCATTTACTACGAGACCTATCCCTGAAGTTCTCAGAGAGCTGTATTTCAATCTGCGCCACCCAGGACACTGTGAGACATCGAGGAAACCACAGTACAGGAGGATTATGAACAATATCAGAGCTTTGGATCTGCATGTTCCTGAATGCTCACTTACCTGACCCCATACAAGTTCTCCTAATCCAATAAATACACACCACATCCACTGGTCAAGCTGCAGGGGAGAACAGCTAAAGGGTTTTCCTCCAAACTGGACAATTACTATCTACAAAGAAAATCACAAAAGTAAGGAGATGAATTTTTTTTGGTGGGGGGGAAAACCAAGCAAAGAGGAAAAAACCAAAACCAACCAAACAAAAGAAAAGCTGCAGTCACTATAAAAAAAAATAAAAATCAAACCACATGAACTTATGCACTCAGAATTAAAGGTCAGAAAAAGCCATACCAGTTCAGACTAAGCTTTCTTAGCCTCATATCTACCTAACAATGGTCAGGAAGACCAAAACAGGACTGTCTCCCTGTACTCTCCCAGTTCCTGAGTATTCTCAGCTGAGGATGTGTTGACCCTGATGTCATTTTGGAACGTCCATTGCAAAACAGATTTTCCCCTCTGATTAACATTTTATTGCACACTTAGAGATGTGCTACAATAGATGGACAGAGGGTGGCAAAACCACACACCCTGGAGCAGGATAATCAACACATAGAGAATCTGAACAGGTTTCTAGTCCTTACTAGACTGGGTGGGACAGTTTTACTAACTGAAAATCAGATATTATTGATATTTCTTGTTAGTAGTGCTGCTGCAAAACCTGAAATCACCAAGCAAAGCTTTAAACCCCCAGAATTTTAGTTCATGGTATTAAAACCATGTTTTTTGAACTAAGGGTCATCACTATCAAGTCCTACTGCCTATCACTGGTGCCCTTTCTCCAATTCTTAATTTACCAAGTAGCTTCCCTTTCCTGTTTCAACCCACTGCAGCCCAGGTTCAGGTAGCTCCATCCTCCTCCTCACTCCTTCCAGGAGAAAGGTCCCAATCCTGAGTTTCCAGGATGCCACTGCAGAACTGAGCGACCGTGTCAGGAGAGAAATAACTCAACTCTAAGGTTTCTAAAAGGTAATATCAAATATATCCAGCACGGGAAAGGTGCCAGCAAATGGATGGAGATGCCAGCAGGAGGAGGAATTGGAGTTCTTGCATAAGAAAAATTACAACCTTCTGGGGGGAAATGTATGGCTGTAATTATGTTCACACTTGACTGGGACAGCAAACTCAGGGGATGAACATGAGGAATTGCTATTAAGAAGAAAGATTCCTGGGAATACTGAGTAGCATTTGGCAGTGGCATTTAACAGAAGAACAGTTCAGCTTTAGGTACTTGAAGGAAACTTTGTCTATTTGTGTAGTGGTAAATAACTCTAAAAGGCTTTGCTGGTATACTATAGAACAATTTCTTCTTTAAAAACAAGTTATAATATCAACAAATAAAGATGGCTGTTATTATTTGACATGCTAAGATTAATTTAAGAATTAACCTGGTGAAAGTGATCAAAATTTTTGTTGTATTAATGGGGCTACATATAATTTTCTATTATTAACACTTGTATCGATTGAGAAAATCTGTGCAAATAGGTGGTTTACTATTAAATGCACCTCCTGCAGCACTTAGATTTAAAATTTAAAAAAAAAAACCAAACAACAAACACACAGAAAAAGCTAATTCTTGCCCACATCATTACCTGAATAGCAAATGTACCCAGTACAATAGTGCAAAAAATGGGATTTCTGAAGATGCCATCAAAGACATTCCTTTCGCCGTGGATTTTCCGTGCGTTGATTTCATTGAAAAGCTGCATCATGACAAAGGTGTTGAAGATGATGGTGTAATGCTCTGAAGGAGGAGAGTGAAGCGGTGCATTCCTCCCACTGTCAATCTTAAACATTTTCTCACCTGGGCGTCAGACAAAAACAAGAGTTTCCACCAGAATAAATTAACCAGGTCTGTATTTCCCTTGTTTACTTTAGTTGCATTCTATGATCTGCTTTACCACCTGCCCTTCCTACACCAGTGAGCAAAACACAGCTCAACTTCCTGAGCAAGAAGCTTCTCAGATGATGATGACTCTTAGCTAATAACTCAGTACACCTAGGAAGAGTTGTCAGGAGCACTTTTCCTCTAAACAGCAGCAATTATTCTGAGCAGTCAGTTCCTTCTGATGCACTTAAAGCCATTGACAGTATTTTTGCCATTTTCTACAGTAATTCGAAGCAGCAACTCTTTAGCAGGTTTAGCATTTACTAATCCAGTGTGGCATAACTTTTTATAACAACTATTGAAGGATATCAGTGATAAACAGCACAGACATTCATGGTTTTAAATAGATTTGGAATTGAGCAGCATCAGGAATTGCTCTTTATTTTGATAATTTTCACCATCATTTGTAGATCTGATCAATAAAAAAAAAATCACATCTGTCAGCAAGATGACAACCCATGCTGGGTAACTGCAAAAACGAGGTAATTTGGAAAAGATACCTGCACCCAAGAGACCTCTTTTCTTACAGAATCACAGAATGGTTTGGGTTGAAAGGGGCCTTTAAGGATCACCTAGTCCAGTCCCCCTGCCATGGGCAAGGACACCTTTCAGTAGATCACGTTGCCCAAAGACACATCCAACCCGGCCTTCAACACTTGCAACGATGGAACATCCACAGCTTCTCTGGGCATTCATGTGCTGTGTCTCACCACTGTCCTCGTAAAAAAAATTTGTGTCCTTGTGTCCATTCCAACCTTTCCTCTTTCAGGTTAAAACCAGAGTTGGACACAGTGCTCCGGGTGGGGTCTCACAAGGTGGGAGGAGAGGGAAAGGATCACCTCACTCGACCTACAGGCCACTCTCCTTTTGATGCAGCCCAGGACAATACTGGTTTTCCGGGCTGCAAGTGCACATTCCACCTCATGTCCCATTCTCCACCCCCTTTCTAATACACAAAGTTCACAGATGACATCCAGCCACTGAAAGAGTCTAATGTGAGGATGGGGCATTCACATGGAAGTGTAAATAATGGAGTGAAATAAGAGTACAGAAGATTATCACAATACCACTAGTTTTAACAACCAGCGTTTTGTTAATAGAAGCAAATTAAAGCTAGAACGTTTTTCTGCTCTCCCACTGGCATTATAATCAGAATTTCTGCAGAAAGAAGAAAGGTTTCCTCAGGGTTTCTCCCGAGGCTGTTCATTCCAACAGCTAAGTTATAACAGGGAGAGTTTTTCTGCCTTGGGATATTTGAGCAGTTCATGTTCAAGTCACAGGGAATAATGAGCATGCTTCCAAAGAAAGGAATTGCCTTACAGTCTTTTGACAGAAGGCAGACTATGATGTCACAAACACGTCAGTAACACGGTATGAGGCCACAAAACAGACTGGGAGAGAGCGGACACTTTTAAGCAGACTAAACATCTCCAGAGAGGTAACTAAGCACTGGAAACATCGCCCCTACTGTATACAAACATTAAAGGAAAAAATATAAAGGAAAAAAAAGATGTCTCGGTTTTATCTTTCATAGATACACACAAATTACATCTATTTGCTTTCATTCCATACACACACAAACAAAAATATGTGAATATTTCCCTCAGCAAGGGCACCTGTCCTTAAGTCTCAGTTGTTGCACTCAATTGTCACTCAATTGGCACAGAAGAACATGCTGCTATTGTGGAATGGCAGTGGTTAAATCCATAATTACTTTTCTATTTCCAAACCTGTTCCAAAAGGTGGTTACAGCAAAGCTTTTACTTTATTATGCCTTCCTGCTGAGGTGAAGATTTTTTTTTGTATACTACAGCCTGACAGGACTAGGTAGTGACTTCTGGATTTCTGATGTGCCTGATGCCTCTGAGACATTACTGTATGTTCAAACACAAGGCATTTCTGCCACATGATAAGAAAAAAGAGAAAAAACTTGATGTACTAGTCCCTACAGAAACCCACTACAAAAAAAAGGAAGCATTATTTGATCAAAATAGAAATAATTCTCATTAATTTGGGGTTTAATTATCAATGCACTGAGCTTAGAACATCGTGTCACTGCAAAGCTGAGCCTCATGGAGTTTAGAAAGGAAAAGACTATTTCCTAGGCTTATCAGAAAATTGGTTGGGCTGTGCCCTTCAAAGTGTGCATGAGTTTTCCAGAGACACTCAGGAAATTAGAAAAGGATGAAAAAGCCTGGTTTTCTTTGCATCTGGCTTAGTGTAAAGGATTTTAAACCATAAAACTCATCAAAAAGCCATTATAATTCCCCATGAAGTTCACAGAAGTTCTCATTTCAAGATTCATACCACACGAATTACCAAGACTTTCTACACCTAGTTTAGAGAATATTAAAATTTCCTAAGGCTTGCTAGACATTCTCAAAATACACTGTGAGTGTAACAGTTTTACAGACCACCTCTCTTCAAAAACCTGGCAATTATTTTGGTTCAAGTAATTCCACTGCAAACAGACCATCACCTCCTCTGAGCATCCCAAAGAAGCTGCCAGATGGTGATAAGGTGGAGCAAGGCTTTCAAAACAGAGCTCAAAAACCTCCTAAAAATCATAAATTTCCATTTGCAGCTTATCTGGAAGTCTGTATATATATGAAAAAAAGTAACCTGAGAGACAACACATGCAATTTAACAGCAATGACATAGTGGCAAGAAGACAATACCCAACTGAAAAAATCATTAGTCCTTTGAGCAAGTTCACTTATTATTGTGGAGCAACAGAATCTATTATTAGCTCCTACTATTCCCTGCAGCAAGAAACATTTTTCCTCCTTCCCTCCCCTCTCCAAAATACAACCTATAAAAAGCATCCGTTGCTAGCAAGGCCTGAAGAAGAATCCAATAATATAATAAATTAGATTATTTGTCCCCTTTTAATATCCACTCCAGAAATTAAATGTCAAAGCAGAGTGTTATTTGTATCACTTAATACTGATTACTTGCTTTCTATACTACTTAAGATCAACATTATTTCTTGACAATGGCAAGCGTTTTGCTCCTGATTAGAGCTTCTCCAGCCCTTGGGAAAATAGAGCTTGATTTTTATTGTGGTTTGGTTTATGGGTTTGGGTTTTTTTTTAATTTGTTGTTACATGCCTACTCCAAATGACAGGTCTCAACATGAAAATTCAGTGTAGAAGCTGGCCTAGATACTCCTATTAAAACGTAATTTTCCCTGCTGTGTTTTGATACAAACTTTTGCCCAAATCTATATTTTGGGAGGAGACAAAAAACTCCCACTGAGGTAACAACGTGTGGAAGGTGACCAAACCCATTCCATCTGTTGTGTCTGCAGTTCCATGAACGAGCTACGTTAACTACAACAGCATTAATAAACGTGCATTAAGGCACGTTTTGACACGTTGAGCTGCACAACAACTTCCAAACCAAGCAACAATTGAGTCTAAACCCAACAATTACCTAAAGTCTAACGATTTCTTACCCACAAAGAGCAGGGTGAAGATGAGGGTGAGCTGGTAGACAGCGTGGCCCAGGATGTTCTTCATCATGGTGCGGGATATGAGGGGCTTGTTCCTGCCGTACGGCTTGCGGAGCAGCAGCGCCTCCGTGGGGGGTTCCGTGGCCAAGGCAAGGGAGGCGAAGGTGTCCATAATTAGGTTGACCCACAACATCTGCACGGCTTTTAGAGGAGAGTCCTGTGGAGACAGGGAAGGAAGTTATACATTTCCCAGGAAAATAATGGCTGTCGGGTCGTTTATTTGGGATGTCGTTTCTTCCAGCGGGGCTGAGACAGGACACAGAATAACCCAGCCTGAGCTGCTGTGACCTTTCCTATATTTCCTCTGCAAGACCAGAATCAGGGGAAACACAATGATCTGTGGTCATTGATCTGTGGTCGATGATCATCAAAGAGAAATGATTCCTCTGCAGTCATTTAAACCAGGAACATTTGAATCACACAATTCTTACAGAGCCAACAGTGACACTTTGTAATACTTATCACAATATTCTCTGCTACCTCGTGCTTAAAATCTCAGGTGAATTTAAGATAATGCAAGTGGGAGTTTCTTTGCCAAAAGAAAAACTGTATTGAAACAGTTTAAAAAGTAATGTTTCCTTTTACCACTATAACCTATCTTTAATTTTTTTTCAGAAACACCTGGAAATTATTAAAAATTTATGAAATAATTACAGAGACATCTTGATATATCAAGATATATATAATAAGACCTTTAAAAACCAAAACCAACATTAAAAAAAAAAAAAAAAAGCCTGATATTTTGATGTTAAAAATACTCCGAAACTTATTGAACTATATCAAATGTGCAAGAGCAAGACAATCTTTTATTGCAGCCACTATTATTTTACTGGAAACAGGATAGCATATTTGGAATTATGGGTATGGAATGAAAAAAGCCAAATATTGCCATTTGTGAGGATGCAGGATGTAGCTCCTGAAGCAGCTCGCCAGTCACTAGAAGGAGCTCTTTCCTCACACAAAATCCATGGCCATAGAACACAGGACTTTAGGTTGGGTTTAAAAAACCCCAGAAGTAACTAAATACAGCAAACACAGCTCTCAGGAGAGGCTGGACAGCTGTTATAAAGTCTGGAGGTGTAGCTCATCGGGGCAGCTCTGAGGGGAGACTGATGCAGTTGCTCCCAAGACCCAGGAGAGGAAAAATGAACAAGGTTCTTTTCTGTATCCAACAGCCTCCTGTGCCTTCAGACCTGACAGAAAACAAGCAGCACTAGTAAAGTCTGCTTAGTGTTTCAAATAGACCACTTTTATCAGGAAAACAGAATCTCAAAAGTAGTAAGGTATGGCAGATTTCGTGATGAAACGGAGTTAATCTACAGTGTGAAAGCTGGAAGAGAGAGTGCTCTTTTTGGGCACTACCTTACCATGGTGTTGCATTTAGGGGAATGGCATACAAAGCAAAGCAAACCCAACAGAAACTTTCAGAACCCTGTCCTTTCCTTAAAAGGGTTAAATATTCACTTTTAATGAAATGCTTTCAAATAATATGACACATTCTCTATCCCAAGTACACATGGAGAACAAGGGTAAGTGGTTCACTCTCTGGTGGATCTCACTTATATTTGACTCCCCCCTTAGATGAAATATTATTTCTTCTTGAAACACCTTTTAAACAGAACACTTACACAAATTTTGATACATTTCACTTGTTTAAAGAAAAAAGATCACTTCTGGCTTATTCAAAAGGATGGAGAAAGGTAACCTGCTGTTTCTAAGTCTTACGGGTTGGTTACATCATGGAAAGGAGGAAGATTAGCATTAATAGATTCTTGACCTGTTGGTTATGGGTTATGCATTAACTGGGCTTATCTGGAGAGTTCAGCTCATTCACAGGGCATGCAGCTGCAGAAACAGGAAATGCTTTTGTCTTTAGAGGTGCTAAAAAACTAAAAGTGATCAGGAGAAACTTCATTTCAAATCGAGACCTCATTTATTTTATTAATACATATGGCTCCAAAAAAAAGAGAGTACTTGCAGGAAAAGAGGTTTGCTGATAGAGCTCAGAGGCCCTACATGTGACACAGTATACAGGGAAGAAGGAAAACATCTTTTCTGCTGAACAATTTTCCCTGTCATATTTTTTGCCTTTCTAGTTAATAAGTTTTCTTGAGAAACATTCTCTGCGTTGGGATGTTACAACAGCTCAATTTCCACTTCATGTGCTGACTTCTATGTCAATAAAACTGAATTTATCTGTTATGCTTAATAAATAATCAGATAGTCAGGTGTCTGTCAGAGCCTGCCATGGTCCCAGCACAACACAAAAGCAGATTATTTCAGTCTCTAAATCACACCACTGTAATTGGCAGTCACCAGTTTTGGCAACAACATGTTCTCACCATTTCACACTGCCAATCACCTTGGGTGGCTATGGTGCCCCTAATAATTATCTATTATTGGCAGTGCTACACTGCTCAGTCAAGTGTGAGAGCTCATTCTAGGCTGAAGCCCAAACATTAAACACACATTAGTCTGGGCAGGCAGTGGAATGAAATTTCCACTGCGGCTCTATCTGATTTCTGATTAGTTGGTGGAAACTGAGGAAAACACATATCAGCTAAGGAGTTTAGACTTCCATTACAGATTTTAGTCCCTTGTGCAAGTGGGATGCAAATCAACATTCTTTGCACTGTGTTTTAGCCACTGACTGAGTGGTTAACAATTCTTAAATCTCTTTCTGCAAACTTTGGGGATGAGAGTTGTTCAAACTGCACACCACCCAAAATCACCACTTATTCATCAAATTCCTTTCCACTTGACCTTGGAATAGGTTAGCATTGGCCTAGAGGTAAAAGGAAAATGTCCCTTAAATCAAGTGATGTTACACTTCATCTTGGAAACACTTAAAAGTCAAAATCGCCAAAGGCTGGAAATACACTACAAATCTTTTGTGACATGCAGAGCCTCACAAATTTTAGAGCTTGTTACTTTTGATTTAGATGACAAGCCGCGAGGGAATAAAAGGTATTTTCACCCTCACCTTTTTACTCCCACTTGTAACGGAACACACGCACAGATTCATAAAACTGAGCATTTCTGGTAGGTTAACTTTCTATGTATTAATGCAAAAAAATGTCAGCCCTCACTTCTGCTGCTGGATCACAGTGTCTACTAATCGTATGGAAGTGGCATCCTTAATTCTGTTTCCACGCCTCCAAGCCTTGCCAAAACAAATCTAAACAGTGCAGACTTCGATTTTATATTACAGCTTTTTCAAATTTGTCCGTGCTATTATTTTAGGATTTGCCAAATACAGTTCTGCAGTAAAACATTATAACCATGTAAATTACTGCCTTATACATGTAAGTATAGATCATCCTCAATTTTTGGAACAAGATCTGTAAAAACAATTAGTGATTCATGCAGTAGTTCAATGTTACAGCGCTTTTTAATTAACATTTAATTTCCCAAACATAATGTCCTATAGAGTCACTGTTTTCAGTTCCTACTGTCTGCTGAAACATTAAGTCTTTCTCAAAGTACAAGAACAATAATTTGAATGTAAAATGTTAAAACACAGTCTTTGTCTTCCCTTTATTCAGTGCAACCTTTTTGAATAGTTACGTTGCCTCAGCAGTTGGAGACAGACAGAATCTGGCACGGAGATAAACCCATTTGCTCTGTAGTTCCAGTAAAAAAAAAACTGTTTCCATTTGACTGAACTGCGTTTTAAAATCTTTATTTTGTTCATACCCAGATTACTTTTAGCAGCTCCAAACATAATGACCTAATATTTTCTTGGTGCTGTGGAGGGGGGGGGGGGGCAGGAAGCAGGATGAGCCTTTTTAAAGCACGTATAGAACTCTATATGACACCCAGAGATGGGGAGCAATGACTCACTGGAAGTGCAAAACTCACAATAATCGTAGGCAGAGCTCCAAAGAACCACATTCACTGAACCAATCAAGGGCTCTGCAAAGCTGTTATTCAGAGAGTGAAGTCAGAATCCAAGATTTGGTCTCTCAGAAATCCACTGGAAAAATGAACAGTTGGTTTAACCTGGGCCAGGAGTTGCTGAACAGAAAGGACAATTATGCACAAACTGGTCAAGACAACCCTGATCCCTTTAAAAGTATGCACATGGCAACACAGAGAGAAAGGTAAATGAATTAGATGAATTAAAAAAAAAGGGTGAATGAATCTGGCTCAGTGCACTGTGCCACCCAAACTGCACTGACATGGGACCAGAGCTGTGATCTCATCCCTGGTGTTGTGCATGCACTGAACACAAAATTAAGAGCACCAATGCAGCCAGAGACTGAGTGTTCCTGATTCAGCTTTTCAGCAGAGGCTTTAAGCTCTGTTTTCTTGCATGACCCAGATCTCAAAGTGCTTTATGTAATCACAGAACCACAACACAAAAGTTCATTATCAGTTGAAAATTTAGAACTTGTGGCTTATAGATTGAGCTGCTGTAAAAATGAAATAGGGCCCAGTGTAAGTTAGATGCCTGTGAGGGGTAGTTTTGGCAGCAGCTCTGCTAGGCCTGTCAGCATCTGTGATTCTTATACTGTTTAGAATATGATTTCTGTCACCTTAACATGACTTCGTGCTGGGACCCATGACAGAGAATAGCAAATGACCATTTGCACTGGTCCCTTGTAGTCTGCATAATAACTTATTTGAGGGCCCTCCGCTACTCCTTTATAATCTTTACATAACACTGGAGCAACACACAGGGTCACACACACCCTGCACAGGTGGTTAAATATCTATTGAAACAGCAGAGCAGGACAAAACAGGGAGAGCAGATATTGTAGGTGCTCTCTATCAGCAGCATCTTGTTGAAGCAGGCACGAAGTAGATAAATAATAAAATAATAATTATTTTAAATTAACCTAATTAAACTAAATTGGCAAGGAGTCTAACTTTATTAATCTGTTTGGAAGAGAAATTGCAGATTCTTAAAATGAACACTAAAGGTCACAGGTTCTGCCTAATGTTTTTCTTAAGCCTCTCCATGGCCCTCCTAAGGTGCTCTGGACCAAACAAATCATCTCCTGCGTGGGCAATGCTTTCTCTGGGTGCCAATTGGAGGTCTGGTTTCACTCATGCCAGGAATTCACACAGTCAGACCCTTCATTAATGCAGGGTTGCTGTGGTTTCACTGGGAGTCCTGCAGGGAGATGACCACATACTCAGATTTACGTGTACACCAGTGCAACTGCAGGATCAAGACCGAATAAAATTAAGCCTATTGAGTTGCAAAGCACAAGCCAAATGTTAAAAAAAAAAAATCAATTAGTCCAAACAAAGATTTCATTTTCTTTGTACTTCCTTTAAGCACAAATAGTAGAAACCAAAAAGGGTAAGTGTAAAGGAAGTTTCATCCTAAAAGCATCCCAGTGTGCTGGTTCTGAACTGCAGAACAGATTTTCTGAGAGATGCTATAAGGAAGCACAGCACAAATGTTACTACTTACGCAGGATTTTTCCCATTCTAGACTTGCCTGTGTAATATTCATTAATCTGAATATTAATGGTGGACTAAAACCATGTTCTGTGTGTCAAAGAAAGCCAAACTGAGCACCTAAAAGCAAAGAAGTAAAACTCAGTCCAATGTGGACTTTCTCTATATTCACAATGAAGGTCCCAGGAAGCTGCGCTGCCTTTTGGAAACTACAGATTTCACTTCACTTGTCTGTTAAGGACTGAAAGGTTTCAGTCAAAATAGCAACTGAAGGCCTGTGCCCAGTTCTGCAGATTTAGATCTGTGTGTATGTTGTATGCAAGATTTTTCAGTACAGTCATGCATTTTGTGCTGGAGCTATTTTTTCACAGCAACCAGAGGGTACAGTATGTTCCCGAGTGCAATTTTTAGCAAAGCTTATGAGCCAAACAGAATGTCCTCTCGCTGGCTGGAGTCAAAGCCTAACATAATAATGTTCACTGGTGAGGCAAAATCCTTCTTGAATAAGACAGAACCGAGAGCTGCCCGAGATTATCGGCGGTCAGGCCGTGGAGTGGAAACAACGGCGGAGGAAACAACTGCTGCCCTTTTGCCACCATTTCATCTCCAGCTCCTGTCAGACCTCTCCTCTGCATCTGCATCTTTACTGCCAAGTTAAGGCATTGCATAAGAATCTGCTTGCAAAGAAATACAGGAATTCTGGGAGTGTCCATTAGAACCTGTAAAACAGGGACAAGAGACTTGGCAGGCTCGGCAAGGATCTTACAGACCACTGGGGCAATACAAATGCACTGGGGCTGATCCAAACCCTTCTAGAAGCCAGTGGAATGATTCAAAGGATGAAATTAAAAAGGGGAATATGCTTGCACTGATTACACACTTCACATCCACTTAGACTTGATTTGAAATAGTCCTTTCACTGATTCCGTAACGTTTAACCTCTTCAGGAATAAATTAGAAATTCCTTAGCTAGTGAACAGCATGTATTTCCCTTTGCCCTTTCACAAAGCAACTGAAGATGCTGGACATAAAACAACAACTTTCACCTTCAATAAATGTTATTAGGCAGCATCTGAATAAAAGCTGTCTGTAAAACAGGGTTTTAAAAGAAGCACTTGCTTCGGTTCCAGTGACGCTGCTCGAACCACCCAAGCCCTTTTTTTTTTTTTTCCTACGTGGTTTTGTACCACTCATAAAAATCTCCCAGAGTTTTAGTCCTTTTCCTTCTGTTATCAGTAACAATCACTTCACAGCTAAACATTTTCTCAATTTGCCTGAAAATACTTCCCAAGGGAAAAGGGAAACGCATCCAACTTTGCTTCACCATCACTGATTTCATCCCTCAGCACAGGCTCAGTTGTGACAAGACACCACCACAGCCTCGAAATGTCAGTCAGGGCGTAGGAGAAGTTTCACCTCACACTGAAGGTTCCTGGGTTTCTGGTTGCAAGTATCAATTCCATGATCACAGTGTCAGTTTACCCCAAGCAGAGCTGATGATTTATTCATTGGTTTGCTCAGGTGTGCAGGAGGTGAAATCTACCTGTGCAACAGGTATGGCATCTGTGTGATGCACCACAGGGGGAAGCATCAGCTTTCCCCTGCTGTGTCTCAATCCAGGGAGGCATTTTGTAACAACATCTGCCTGTAGCATCTGAAATATATATTATTTTGGGCAGTGACAGCATTAAAACCTACATTTTGTTATCTCCTATTGAAAGACAAAACTCTTGTACTCTACTTAATTCACCCTTTTTTCTCCTTAGGGCAAAGAAAACTGCATTTTATTAATCAGGAAGCAATAATGTGAGGGTAAGAAAATGTGGTTTGCCTTCAGGTATGCTTTTTGTAAAAGACTTAAAGGTGTGGCATGTGAACCAGGATTGCACTGAGGGATTGATGGAGAGGAAGAAAGAGATGTCAAAGTCCAACTCAATGTATCATATAATTGGTTTGTCACTTGCATCTGGAATTAAAAAGAATTGCCTGAAAGCAACAAAATAATTTTTATCAGTCAAAAAGATCCCCTGCTGGGATTACTCCTGTGTGGGAGTACTGCTCTCTTGAAAACAATAATCCCATTCCATAATCCATCAAAAGCACATATTTAACAGTGAAACATTCTGAGAGGAAAAGGCAAATTCATATAACCTCCTCCTTCTCCCAGTGCCTGACACTGCCTGTCCCATCATCAGGCTCAGGGATGACAATAATATGTAATTAAAAGCAGGGAGGTATATGGAGGCAGCACAAAAATCAGGAGGTCCTAAACAAAGCTAAAGAAACAGCAAGTTTTCCTAAAGAAACAGCAATTTATTTTGGGGAGAAAATGGATTAGTACACTTTCTTACAACAACAGCTGTTCAACACCGAGCAGCTCAATCCCAAACACACTTAAAATGCTTAGAAGAACTTCAAAAAGCATATTTGCTGTTGGCAAAGGGTGAAATGTGAGCCACCATCCCCTCAGGCAATGCAGTGTGGTGGGGTCTGGCCCTGAGTTCCTCACCTGGGTGATGCAGGCCCCGGTGAAGGCCACGATGACGGCCACGATGTTCACGGTGAGCTGGAACTGCAGGAACTTGGAGATGCTGTCGTAGACATTGCGGCCCCACATCACCGCCTTCACGATGCTGCTGAAGTTGTCATCTGTCAGGATGATGTCAGAGGCCTCCTTTGCGACATCTGTCCCAGCAATACCCTGGGAAAAAAAAAAAAATCGATTGGGAATGAAATGACCTACTAGAAAATACAGGGGCAGGTGGAACTCCAACCTTCCCGCTCGTTTCAAGACCACAGTTGTACAAAGGTTTCCCAGCACAGTAACAGTGGCTGCTGAGTATATTCTGCATTTTGTATTTGCTGTAATGTAGCTAATTTGGCCTATTTTTGAAGTGAATAAGGATGCAGAAAAGGGAATTAAAAGTGGAATTCATGTGATGATAGTTCTGAGTGTATTAAGTTATCAGCTTAATGACTACTGATCTTCTGGGTTATTTTTATCATTGATGATTTTATAAATATACATCATCAGAACTGGTTACAAAAATTAGAATGATGTATCTTAATATATACAGTCAGAGTACACTTGGAAGACATCTTTATGTTTAGTGATGGATTTTACCAAAGCTAAATAGTATTGGGAAGAAAACACTTCATTTTTCTGTATGGACACAGGATTCTGCACACAGCCAAGAATTACCTCAGGTAAAGTATGGAAAACTTACCAAAATATGCAACAGCAGTGAATCTGACACGGTAAATTAAAGGGTTCTGATGTAACATGACTCGCTCCCTTCAGTATATTGCTTCGCTGACAAGTAACATCTAAGCAACTTAACATTTCATGAATGAAAAACCTCTCTCAACACATTTATAATGACACACAAAAAATCAATAAATATGCTGGAGATTATACCATTGCAAAGCCAACATCAGCTTTTTTAAGTGCTGGTCCATCGTTGGTCCCATCCCCGGTCACAGCTACAACTTGTCTCTGCTCCACCTGTGTGCTGTCAATGATACCTGCAAAACACGGACATGAGTGTGTACACAGACAGATGGAAAATAATGAGCAAGATAAAACACCCCTGCAAAGAAAAAAAAAAAAAAAAAAAAAAAGCAGGGCCTGGATGATATAGAGCTCATAATACCACACAAGTCTTACAGAGATTAACAGAGTTGATTTTGAAGGAAAATAATGATGAAAGCAGTGTCATCACCATCTCACAGTACTAGACACCACTATTAGAAATTACATGGAAAGTTCTGATCCTGCATCATCAACACATCAACGAAACTTGCACTGACTTCAAAGGGAATGAGATCAGCTCATTATGTCCTTTTGGGAGGTTTTTGCTATTTAAAATTATATGTCACAGTAAACCCATCTCAGCCCAGCACTCTGCTATATGGAAAGGATTAGCCAAAGACTTAAGTTTTTAAGACTTATGATTGCTTAAGGCTCTCCCAAAACTGTGCCCAAACTGTAATACCAGCTTTACTAGGAGGCCTTCTGGCAGTCAGTTTAACCCAAAGATAAGAAACATCACTGCTGAATTTTATTTAGCTGCAGCCAGATGAGCATTTTAACAGCCATGTTCAATTCTGCCAAGCGATGATTAAGAAGGTATAAAATAATTCTTTAAATTCTGGAGCCAAACGTTTTAATAAATAGACATAATAAAATAATTTCTACTTTCATTTTGAGATCGTTGGAGAAAAGAAAGCACTTCCCACTCGGTGAATCAATTTTCACACAACTAGCCTGCAGGGAAGTATTTTCCACTTATGCAGATAGGGAAAGTAAGAAAAAGAATGAAGAATTTTCCTATGGCTACAGAAGTAGCCTCATTTTTTAATAGGATGTGGATCATTCAACATTCATGTTTTTATTTCCATATCAGGGTCTATTTGAATATGAGTCCAGAACACAGGACTGTTGTGTAGGATACAAGAACACCTCTCCATTTTAATAACTTAGGGGGAGAAATGACAAAATTCCTTTTGCTAAAACATTTTGCACCAAATCATAACCTCTAAAAACAATTATCAAAAACCTACCCAGTGTGAAAAGCTTTCACTCTACTGTGAAAAAAAAACCCTCACTCACATATCAGATAACTAACCAGAAATAGGAAATTGCAGATTACAGTGCAATAGCTGCCTCTTGGCAAGGTTCAGGCTTATCAGGCACCAGAAGATTGCAGTGCAGTGTGGAAGCAGTTAGTGCCCTGTATTTTTCAGACTTAGGAAAACCAGAAGAAAAAAAAAACTATTCCCTTTCCATTGGGAGTATGATCTCAGATAAGTGGCACCTTATTCTGATAAGATCTTACAATTACAGCTTGCAGTTTGTTGGGGTGATTTGCCTTTGGTATTATTAAATAAACAGGGATATTGTCTCTCATTACTATTAAAAACATTTATCTTGGTCTTCCCTTCTTATTATTTACACATCCTTGGATGTTAAATTAACAGTTGAAGCTTCTGAACAAAATATTGTTAAATCTCTGACACATTAGGGTATTAACTGCTCCAAAACAGGAAGATGACATCCTCTGCCAACTGGGTTCCAAATGGGAGCATAACCCAAATCAAGTTGAAGAGGTTCTAATAATCTCCTAATAGATATAAATAGTGACTATAATAGTGATGACTATACTACCACTGCCCTGCATCAGCCAATTGCTGGATGCTCCTCAGCAATTTACATGGTTTAGTAGTCATTCTTAAGGTTTAGTAGTAATTTTCACCCCTAAAAGCAAACTCTTCAGTTGGGATAAACCCAGATCACAGAACCTCATAACCAGCAGCCATAGAAAAGCAGAGATAAAATGGTCTCAGTTACCATCAGCATCTGAGCCCCAGAGCTGCAGTGCAGTGCCATCAGAAATATGGCAATGCATGGCACAACACTAGGGGGATGGATCCCAGTGCTATCCACGGGAAGAGAGAAGGTCTTTGCAAAACTGTCATTTGTGCATCAGGCAAACTCCTAAAATGGAGCAGTAGCAATTATTTGGGATTCAGAGGATTTATCACAACTGTATTTATGCTCCTTGGTTTCAGCCTGCTCTTTTTAATCTGTTCCTCCTCCCCCTTCCTCACATTGCTGAATGTTTGTCTTCTTTCCAGCACTCACCTCCTTCCAAACACATTTACTTTTTGTACTTTTTCACATCATTCTGTTCATGGCTGTGGTAAGGTTTCACCTCAAGGATTTTCTTCAGCATTGAGTAATATATAATATTTACAACTATATAATATTTACAAACAGTGTAAGGAGACCAAAGAGAAGAGGGATGCCCAGCAAGGGCCCTCCCTCTGTAGTTCTGAGCTGTGGAGATCAACTGCTCAGTGAAAAACGGAACTGAGGACATGACCTGACAGACAGTCAGGAAAGAGAATGACCACTGCTTTAACATTCCCTGGCCTTTCCACTCATTCTAAGTGGTTAAAAAAAAGCTTTGGTAATAATTACTCATGTCTAACATTAGGGAAATTTCTTCAAAATAATCTTCTTTACTCCAGTTGAATGTTTACCTACAGTATTTAAAAAAAAAAAAAAAAAAAAAAAACAGGTTTGCAACATGCATCAGGGGAATTCTTAAACTCCCAGCAAAGCTTCCTGCCAAAACAGCCTTGGCTGTTTAATTCCCTCATCTTAAGCTGTTTGGCCATGACTTTCTTCTGTCAGAATGAATTTTATTCTACAGCCGCAGGAACACACCTGGAGCAGAACATTACAGTGTGTTTCACACAGGGATTTGGCTGATGTGGCAGGAATTTGGGAAGGAGGCAAGGAACTTGCATAAGGCATACATTTTTCAGAGCAAGCAGCTTGTTTTGGAGGAGGGGAAAGATCATGTTTAGTTGAGCTGTCATGAAGGGCACTATATGCATAAGCTTGCTATAAAAAGTACCAGCACTGCATACACAACTGGAATTTATCCTGGATCTCCCACCTCCTTCCATCTAAGGTTAAGAAAGCATTCAATCCAACGCGCTCAGGATAATCATTTAAGGGATATTAACCAACAATGCCTCTTCCATTTCTTTAACAAGGAGCTATTTATACCCGTGGCTCAGATCAAAACCATCAAATGTAGCCTCAGGTTCTCCCTTTATTGTAGAACAAATGCTGCTCTAATTTAAACAATCCTCGCTTGCGTTGTCACCCTTAGAGTTGCATCAGTAAGAAAACCCTGGCTCTGGGAGAAAAAGATAAATAAATAAAAAATCCTGGTCTAGATATTTCTTTCTGTCTCAACTGATTGACTCAAAACAGGCAGGCAGGAAAAATTCAGCTGCAGTTGAGCATTTCAAAGGGGCACATCAGCGCAGGTGTTAGCAGAGCTGATCCTCACACAGATTTGTATTTCTTTGACAAGCTGAACACAGCCAGATGCAGTAATATATTTTCATGTTCATGTTCTCTTCAGATTAGTTTTTAATACTGCCAAACCTCCTTGTTAATTTAGGAGGAATTTAGAAAGTCTGTCTGAAAGAGGAGACTCAAATTCATTTTAGTCCCAGGCTTAAGTAGGTGCATGGATAGAGCTTTAAAGGTTAATGGGAAGTGTTAAATTTGACAGTACAGACAGCACTGGCAAATGTTAACTGAACAGTCCCCCCCAAAGCTCAGGATAGCAGAATGCAGAGCAGAGCACAGCTAAAACACCAGGATTTCTGTGCTAACCACGCAGCAATCATGTGCTTCATGTTTTATCACTGAAACCCTAAAGGAGAACCTTGAAGGCACCAGTGCCTCCCACCCCAACACTTCACACAACCTCCAGGGCTGTGCTGACAGAGCACAAACCTCCAGACTCAAAAGCAGTAGAGCTCCTGTTTCCTTTAAACTATTTTTATGTCCTTTGTTTCAGGTTGAAGTTTTTACACTGTGGAACAGGTGAACTTCCTGAATTTTTCTTCACGGGAATTTGAAGAAAAAAAAACTTTGAAATTTTCTCTCCCCTGGGAATCAAACCCACTTGCTATTTGCAACATGCTGATATTTAATTTTAGAGTTTCAATTAATACGCTTTTCTGTATTTTTGCTATTCCACCCAGTTTCATGGCATGTTAATGAGGTTGCAAATATAATACCATCCCATGCAATGACATTTGAAGTATTTTAGTAATTAAGGGTAATTATTACAAATCTTTCCTTCTTTAAAGTTCCCTTTTGCTTGTTAACAAACCAGCCGTACTATCTGATTTTACTATTTTTATAAATATGTAATATTTTTATAAATGTGAATATTTTCATAAACATGAAACATAATTTTAATATTATTTTTAATATCACAAAAATCATTCCAGGCTAATTTGAATATATTGGAAAATATATATAACTGGTAAAGTGAATATTTCTTTTATCTTCTCTATCTTCTCTATCTTCTTCTATACTTTCTGACGACATTGCCCATGAGCATTAAGGAGTTTTTTCCCACAGTATTGCTTTTAAAAAATGACAATTTGGAATTGTTTTAGCAATAGCATTATAAGAACACATCAGTATAAACGATAGGTGTTTTTACTTGTTATATTTTGAAATCAGGTAAAACATACGAAATAACACCAACAGGTGCCTTAAAATCCATAATGTGTTTCAGCTGGACTGAGATACCTAAGATTTTTATTTCACTTAAACAGCTTGTGACTCTAAACCACTTTGAGTGGGTTTTTTCCAATCTACCTCTACTTCAAAGCCATAAATATTTGAAAGCAACTGTGAGCCCAGTCTGAAATGCTGAACCAATGCCTTTCTCTAGTCCCTTAGCAGTAGTAAAAACCAAAAAATGAAAAATAGAAATGATCCTTTTGCTGGGTGGGATAGTGCTATGTTAAGGACAAGAAAAAAAAAATTCCCTCCAGCAGCTGTATGTCATTAAAAATTAAATATGGAAAAAGTTTATTTTCTGATGTGTGATTTTAGCCCAGAGCAGATAGAATACATCAAAGGAGAGAAAATCCTCTTGATCCCTCAAGTGTCTGAGAAAAACATAACATTTTAACAAGAGGCCCAAAACTAGTGAACATTTAAATAGTTTCTTGTAACTTTTAATGGCCCCTGGAGTATTACCAGCCAAAAAAATTCCATCATGATTTCCACAGACTTGATCTTGAACTTTGTTAGATACTTAATTGCTCTATCACTTGACCTTGCCACATCTTTAAAACATTAATTGTATCCATGGCACATGGCATTCAGTAGTTAATGTCTTTGGGATTGTCAAAGTGCATATGCTATAAAACATCAACAATTTCTTGCCTTTTTTTTTTTTCCTTCAGCTGTCTATTGATTTCAATTTCCCTGGCAAAGGTTTCATTTTCCTCTTAAAGGGAAAATCCTGAATGATTCAGATGACTACTCCCAAGGGACTTATTTAATCCACTTAATGAAACACAAATTGTGATTCTGAAACAAATAAACTATTAGGCTGTACAAGTTCCGTTTGTTCAGAAGTCCAAGTCAGCATTTTACATGCACAAGGGAAGGGAAGCTGACTTTGTTCTGTTTTTATATTGACATACTCTCCAAACATTTTCAATCCTCAACACCTATCAGTGAAATATTTTCCAGCACATCTCCCCCCAGTACTTATATAATTTATAAGTTACAAATTTTTACTACTATATAATAAATTGTGGACAACATAAAATATACATGGAAGAGGAGGTGATAAAGATTAAACTGTTTGTCTCCACCTGCCCTATCCAGCATCAATGACAGGGTTTACAAGATATGGATTGTTCAGCAGAACTTCAGTCTTTCCAGAGCTCTTCACACACACACACACACACACACCGGTTTCAATCCCAAAAGAACCCAACCGATCCAGTCTTCAAATTCACACTGGAACTTTTGCATCCAGGCATTTTTACAAATTCCATAATGCTCAAAAGCCTTTGTAACCAGTCATGTATGGAGTCATACCAGGGAAACCTTGTACACCCAGAGGATTCCCTATCTAAATGGGAATCCCTGTTTAAGTAGTCAGCCAACTGAAAATGTGTAACAGATCAGCTGGATCTTGGCCTGAACTTTAACTCCTCCAAGATTTGCTAAAAGGGGCTCTCCAGACTTTTCAGGACCTCAGCAAAATAATCCATCTCTTTCTTCATCAGGAAGTCAGAAAACAACCATCTGCCAATGGTTCTTCCATCTGTGTCAATCCCCCACCTCAGCGTGGCTAAAAATGACGATTTTCCTGATCAGAAACTGTCTGATTTCATCAGCTTTTAAGTGTGAGCTTCAAAGTCAACAGAATAAGATGTCAAATCATCAAGAATTGCGAGTTACAGTTATGAAAAAGGCTTTATAAAGAAAACTGCCAACCAATCCCTCTTTTACAGAAGCATTCCATCTGCAGGCAGCACGGTGAGAGTGTAATTTGTATGGTGCAGTTTTTACAGGACAGACTCTAAAAATACAGTCAGAAATCCAAAGGAAGCCAATGCAAATTACACAATTAGTGAGATTATGGGAACAGGGAATTGCCTCAAACTCCCAATCTCCATTCATGTAATGTTAACAGGGGCAGCTCCCAGCTACACCATCTCAAAATCTGCTATGCTAACAGGAAAAGTTTCCTTAGCTTGGAATATACTTTTAAAATAATTTTAGGAGAACAGATGCACTTGAGAGATTTGATTCACTCTAGGATCGTTCTTGTTCTCAACTTAAAGGTATAGGCAAAGACTATAAAATCTAGGTCCCCTCTTGTTTATATGAGTATCACCCTGATTCTCAACAATATTTGCTTTCCGACCAGCGAACACACATTTTCCCTTCCCATCTAAAGCCTCATTCCAGTCCAATTCAAAGTCACAAGGCAAATATGAGATTGCCTATATCTACTTGCCAAACAACTTATTGGTATTTCTCCTACTCCTGCCAAAAGAGTTCCCTCTTATTTTCCATCCCAAGGCTGAGGTCCAGCACAAACAGCAGCGACCCGGTTACTGAGAAAACTTCCTTGCATTACAGGGAGATGTGCAATTAAAGGTAACAACTCAGATATCTTTGTGACAGTAAAAGCTTTCACAGGGCAGATGATGTGCTGCAACAACTGTGGCATTAATTTCCAGGCCACCAAGGCAGTTTGCACCCACCTTTCACCAAAGTGTGTTTGTCCGTGGGGGACGAGCGAGCAAGAACCCGGAGCTTTGGCCAGATTTTGTCAATCCGCTCCTGCTCAATCTGGAGGGGGGGGAACACACACACAAAAAAAACCCCAAAACAATTAACCTGTGATTAGCAAAATGCATAATATATTTGTGTCCATGTATCTGACAATTCACTACCCAAACCTGCAACTTTTCTCCAAAAGCACAGGGAAATTACAACTGTCATCAAGGTCAAAAAGGCAGTTTGTTACTACCAGAGTTCAGCTGTTGACTAACACAGGTAACTTTTGCCACAGTATCTGATCAGCCTTTCTTAACCTCTTTATGGATAATTCCACATGACTGCAGATATAGGATTGGGGAACTTCTCAAAGCTGATCTAACATGTTTACAAGTTTGTTGCTGTACTCTTCATTTTAATCCAAGTTCTTCACTTGGCACCAATGATGGCAAAATATTCTCTGTATAGCAACAGGAACAAGGACAAATCTGCTGTATATACTAACATTCCCAGGATTCCCTCCATCAATTCAAGGAGTAAATGACTGTGTCCACTCATTAATGATGGACTCAAAGAGGCAGCGTAGATGTTACTTTTTTAGAGCTGACTTCCAATATCCTGTGCGTGAGCTCCATCATTTGTGAGGAGCTAAAAACCCTCAGAAGAATAGATTTCTATGCTAATCAATAATGTGAGTACATTAGATAAAGTGGAATAAATTAAAGAAACGAGAGGAGATGGTTCTCAGAACAGACTGTAAATTGCTGTTGAGCCCCTTCTCCTCCTTACTACAAACCTGCTTTAATGTGCTTAGTTTTGATTTCTTGTAGACCAGAGCTCTGGGTCTAAAAACTGCAAGAATTAGACCAGCACTGAACTGATACTGGCACCGCATCAGGAAAAGTAAAGACTGGAATTTCACTGCTGCTTTGAATTGTAAAAGGCTGGGGGTAGAAAGAAGCAGTAACCTTTCCAAGGAGCCTGTACCGATCAGAGGCACGTGCCAGTGGGGGAGGAATATTGCTCTCACCGGTTTTTAATAACACACTCACGGATTCAGACTGGGAATTACCTCTCCCTTCTCATTTCGGATCCTTCTGTTGAACTCTTTCCCTTCGAGGCAGAGGAAGTCTTCTCCTGGGTGGATGATCCCACACTTGATGGCGATGGCACGGGCTGTGTTGATGTTGTCCCCGGTGACCATGCGGACCGTGATTCCGGCTCGCTGGCACTTCCTGATGGCTTCTGGGACCTGCCACGGCAAGAGAGCAGGAAAGAAAACGCCTGGATAAGAAAGGAAGTGTCATCCAGGTGTTCCCAACTGGAATATTTTGAGGCGAGGAAATTCGTGGAGAGAGAGAAAGAGAGATCAGACATGTTATGGTTCATTATTGTCAATCGACTCTCAGGGAATGGAGGTTACACAGCGGGCAAGGCAAACCTTGTAGGAAGCAGCAAAAAACCCTCATCTTTTAGATCCGTTTCCTAAAGTTTCTCCTGACTGGAATACAAATGAGTGCCCTGCAGCTTTATTGACCTTCAGCAGCAGAGTACAGCGCGCTGAGCCAAGCACGCATGGAAATACGAATGGAAAACACACATATTTTATACAATTATTTGATTTCTGAGCCAAGCTTTCTTTCAATAAGATTATTGTTAAATTTATTGTAATTTAGCACTATCACGCTAATTTATGCTTATCAACAGGTGAAATTTCTAAACATAGGAGTTTAAAATCACAGCCATATCTAATGTATTTCAAAACCTCAAAAATGAAACATGACTTTAGTTCTGCTTCTTTCTGCATGAGATTAACTTTTCCTGATGCACAGCGAGAGAGTATTCAGGGCGTAACAGGGTCTGTGAGATTAATATAGAAGCTGTATAAAGACTTGGTATCATATACAGCTTATATTTTTTCAAAAAAGAAAGATTTTTATAATTAAAATGTACAAGAGCTGGGGGATTAAGTCCTAGTATTTAAATAAAACTATTTTAATACAGCTATTTGGGTATGGGAAGCCTATAGAAAGGTTCCATGACTATAGCTCAATTTCAGATGGGGAAAAAAAATCCATTCCCTTAAACTGTATCATAATTCACAATCACTTATAAATTAATTTCACTAACCAACTAATTCTGTCTCAGGACATTTTTACATTATTATGAAAGAATTATTTCTTCAAGACAAAAACAGCAATATTATTTCACAGGGAAGAACAGGAATTGGGTTTAACACATCAAGAACAGTCTAAATAAGCATGTTCAACACATCACCACTTCTCTAAATTTCATCTTTACCTTAGAAGAGTCCAAGGGCTCATCATGATGACTGAAGCCCTTTCACAGAGCTACAGAAAAATGAACTGCCTTAGTACAGAAGACAGTAAAGGACAGATGAACATATATATATGTGTGTGTGTGTATGTATAAATAAATATTTTTTAAGAGCTATTTTAGAAAGGGTAATAAAATGGGCATTACTGGCTATTATATGAAAGCCTGACTAAATTCTGCTGCCAGTTCAGCGCACCTTGTTGATCATACCCTCCATGATAGATATTAAGCATATTGCAGAACTCAGTGACAATTAGAGTGGATTAATCTAATCTATTAGTGTAAAAAAAATGTTATGGCAAGGAGACATCATCTACAACCTTACACTGCTAATTTTGTGCATTTCTAGATATTTTGATTTTCTCTGTGGCCACAAGGAAGTGACACTGCTGAGGGCAGGGAACTGCATTTATGTGACAACCCTCGCTCTGGGCCAGAGCGGCAAATTCTGCGCTCCTAAGGATCTCCTGGGGCCACAAAAGCTGAATATCTCAGACTGAAACTGTTCACCCTCCAACCACACTAGAGATAATGGTTATTCTAATCAGTGAATAATTTCACACCGTGTTTCTGCATATTTATTACAGGCAGTTGAGAAGCTTTTTTTTTTTTCTAAAATACCTCACTAAACCAACACCTGAGGACCACAACAGTACTTTTCCCATGACTATGAGGAAAATCACCCCACTTTCAGAAGGTGTCCCCAGAACGTGCTGTTTGCAGAATGACTCTGTCAATACAAGTTACAGAACCAAAGGGAAGAATTCAGGGACAGGGTTTTATCTTACAGTTTCCTCATCTCTCACCCAAAATATTCTCCCCTGGAAGCATTATTTGGACCTGAAGCCTTTTAATACTGTGAAATAGATTTCTAGACAGGAATGTACAATCAGATTAAATCTATTACTTAAGCAAATGACTCCTGATCTACCCAGTTTCCACATTAATAATCCTGACTACATCCCATTTGTCAATTTGAAATGCCCTTACTATCCACTTTAACTGTGGTGACCCTCGTGCACAGGACGTGACAGATTTAGATGACTATCTGGAAAACCAGAACAGTGTATGAACCATGAAGGAGAAAAATAAATTACAGTGCAAACAAGAAAAAAAAAAAAAATGGTCTATTCCCACAAAGTGCCAGTCCTACTAAACAAGGTCATGGGAGGACAAGCCAGTTTCAAATCTATCTCAAACTCGCATATAACTAGAGAAATCATTCTATCTTCCTCTTCTGTCATTTTCTGGACAGCTGGTAGGTGGTATCTGATTTAATACTGTGTACAGTAATTACAGTTAAAATATTGTTCATATTTTTTTATTGCTGTAAGGGAGAAAGAGTGTTGGCAGACTGAGTGGGCAGTGGAAGCAGATATTTTCCATCAGTTTTGCAGAGCTTAAGTACACATGGTACAATATCTCGGTTTATTTTCTCTCTGCAAAGAAAAACTTCCAGTGCATGCATGCATGCACAAAGTATCCAGTGCAGGAATATCTCCCTGAATCAGGTGACAAATAAATGTCAGAATTTGGAAGTGATTTACATTCATCTCCCAGAAATAACAGACTGTGGGTGTTCATTGGCAAATCAGTGTAAGGCAGTTCAGACTCATTAAAATCAAGCCAGAAAGGCTGTCAGAATCAACAGAGGATCTCTGCAGGAACTAGACATCATTTTATTTGTTCTCTTCTTGTGTGTTTATCAAAGAAAAATAAAAAAACCTGCACACATAGAGTATACAAATATCAAGCAAGTGGTGCTTGATAAATCCAGTTGTATTTCTAATTTTTATGGGTTTGTGGTTGTTTTTTTTTTGCCAGACAGAAAGCACTTTGAAAATTCATGCACTCCCATGGTGACTCCATTAATGATTGGGTTTAATTCTGGCAAAAAATTGATATTCCTTATAACTGCTCCACATCTTCCTATTTGCATCAACAATGGTGATTTCATATGCATATTATGATATTCCAACCAAGTCAGACATTCCATACCTAGTCAGGTTTTCTGAAAGTCATAGTTGTATTCTGGCTCCGAGGTTTTTTGGTTCGTTTCTTTTTCCTACAGTACAGCTACTGCATTTACTAATGTGTAGAGTGGTAATAGTAGTTACAATTTAAACATTGTTTTACTTGCAATTATTTAAACAGTGTGTTAGGTCTTCCCGTGATGCTGTTATCCCTTTGAAACAGTCAAAAGCGACAAGGTGGGGGAAAAAAAACAAACAAAAAAACCCAAATCACAAAGTCCCAAAACCCAGATGGGTTTTACCAACATTTGGTAAAATTCTGAAAGTCTAAATATTTGATTGCGTGTCTTGCAATGAAGTAAGAAGTCTTGCTGCATATTCTGGCGTCAAACTACAAGAAATTCAATACACTATTCAAATATTTCTTTAGAAATAAGATGTTTTCCTGCCTTCATCTCCTTTGATTCCTTACATAGCAGTCAGATTTGACCTCTTATTTTTAGCAGCGTTATTCACTTTTACCTCAAGCTCCAAAGAAATGATTCCCTGCAAGATGAGAGTTCTCTTACAAAACACACTCATAATAATCACATGAAGGGATAGTTTGCAGCTATTTTCAATAATAACTGCAAATCCCACTGCTACACAATCCCTCAGCCTGTCACACCACACGTCACCACACTTAAAGCTGTTTTCTAACGTGTATCATGAACTGATTTTGGAGGGAGAGAGGACTCATTGACAGTTGCAGTGGTCACTGACAAAATCTTTCTGAGTTATATATGTATTTGTGAGCTAAAGCACTATAGGAATATTGCAGACACAACTTCCTAAGGATGTTTTTCCACATTTTTCAAGACTTGCAATGTCAGGCATAGGGACAGATGGATTAGCAGCAAAAGACCATCTGATGAGAGATAAAGTGAGTGCTGTTTATCTGGTGTTAGTGGAGATAAGGAGTTTATCATACAGTTTTCACCTAAGCAAGGTTTATTTTATATTATAATCTAGATATTGAAAAAAAAAAAAAACCAGCAAGGTCCATTATCAGGTAAAGAACAGCTGTGTTGGTACTTGTAGTTGTATTGTGTTGGTTTCCAAAGTTACAGCTCTTACAACTACTTTATAAAGAACTCAGGGAAACAAGGCAGAAATATCTACACTTTTCATGTTTTAGTAAAAAAATTAAACCACAATCAAAGTGAATCAAACACAAAGATTTAGACATGGTTAAAAAAAGATCCATCAAAAATGTAAAATGAGACAGAATAATCAAGAAAGACAAAGATGGGCAACAAACTACTTTTTGTGCAGCATCAGAACACACAAGAAAAACTCCGAGTCATCTTTCAATGACCTCACTCCAAAGCGAACCACAGCCACTAATCATGGACTGAAGTAACAGCAGGATCAGAGCAAAGGGAGTGGAAACACCTGGATTGTACACTCAGCACTTCACTCTGGGACTTACCTTCTGTCACTGCTTCTAAACTCCAAAATTGAATTAATTCTCCACTGCCACCATTAATTATCAAGCACCATATATATATATATATATATATAGGTCAGAACAATTTCTACCTCCTATTCTACCCTTGGTATTAATATAATTTACAAGTGTAGTAGCAGGCACATGCTTCCAGTGTGAACACCTAATACTGATTTTCTCAGTTGAGTTGAAATTTTAGTCATATTTCTAGAAGCCATTTAAGTGCAGTATCCATGAAGCCTTCAGCCTTTCCAGGGCAGCCTTTCCTTGACCAAATACATTAAAAACAATTTTAAGACCATTAGTAAAGTGGCAACTGTTACAATAAACTGCAAAAACCCTCCAATTTCTGGAGAAAATGAGCATGTTACGATTATAGTCATGGCAATTATAATCTCTGCACATCTTCTCTGCTTGCAGAGGTGCACAGCACTGAATTACTACAAAGAAAATTCTTTAATATATGGGAGGATATTAAAACTTCTCCTGTCTCCTCCTGTGTACTGCTCCTCAGCTGAGCGTTGTCATCTCAGTCCTGTAGTTCAAAAAGCCCCTACATTTCTCCATTTAAATATCTGTTGACTGATAGTTGATTTTTATCAGGTTAATTATTTGGCCTTTTATCAAGCAAAGCCTATTTCTAAAGCTCCCTTTCACCTTCTCTGATTTAAAAAAGATAAAACCTGTAAGAAATCTGACATCCAACTGATGTTCAGCCCTCTTAGAAACGCTTTACAAACTCAGAATTCGCTGTACCTCTGGCCTCACTGGGTCTTCAATGCCAACAACACAAATGCAAGTCAGGTCGGATAAGATGTCGTTCTCGTTGTCCCAGTCGGGCTCTGGGCTGCTGGAAAAGTCTCGGAAAGCCACACAGATGGTTCTCAGTCCATCACAGGCCATGGGTTCGATGACTTTCTTCACCATTTCGTCTCTGTCCCGGGGCCTGAAGATACGAGGCTCCCCAGCTGCATTGAGGATCCTGGAACATCTGTTTTATTTGAGGAGAAAAGAATGATGGGGTGTTTGTGTGAGTACTCAGAACCATTTTCCTGTATCAGCTCATTTCAGTCGACGTTAATCTGAAGGCAAGTTTTTAAGCTTCTAATGGAAATTTCTGGAAGATTCACTACTGAAATATCAGAGAGAATTTGTAACTTATTACAGAGACATCAAGCGCCCTTAGTCCATTATTTCCTCAAAACCCAAGTAATTAATGGGCTTAAAACTTATACTGATATGAAAATATATTTATTTTCCAAGGGGGTTAAATGTAAAATATCCATTTAGCAGCCAGTGATAAAAACAGGCCAATTTTGTAAGAGTGAGCACTTTAAAAAGAAAAAAAATTGGAAAAGAGCATTAACACTTTACACTACTGAAGTGTGTCATATTTCTGTTGTAAGTAGTAAATTCCAAATTTGAAAATTCCCACTTACTAGCGTCAGAATGTCGTGCATTTTGGAAAAACAAGGCAACTAATCCACTGAACTTACTTCTTGAGGACAATTTCAGAGGCTCCTTTGCTGTACATTCGGAAACTGCCATCTGGCATTTTAATAACTGTGCTCATCGACTTCCTCACAGAGTTGAAGGTGTAAACTTTATAGAGCTTCTCCTCGGGGATGAGGCTCCGAACAGGCTCATAATCCTGCTTCAGATCCAGGACAAATCCCAAGAGGCCACACTCCGTCTTATTGCCCACCTGGCGAGGCAGCCCACCCTCTTTTTCTGGAGGCTAAAGAGAAGAAAAGAATTGGACATTGATTTCTCGAATAAGAAGCAGCAGACAATAATGAAGCTACAGTGTACAGTTTAAGATCTGAAACTGTGCAGCCACGCATCTTCCAGTTTTTAAAAGCAGGGGAAAAAAAATCCACAGAGCTCTAACAGGCTTGAAGCATCTCTGCTCACAATGAGAAACGTTTTGTTGGCCTCCTGCATTTTTTTTCCTTTAAATTAGCCAATGGCAGCTCGATAGCTTGTGATGGTCAGGCAACACATCATTAAAAGTGAAGTGACTTTCTTTAGGCAATTCAACTTGTTGCAAACTGAGGACTTCCTTTTCTCCCTCGCTTAAAATGACATTGGCTTGCTGATTTTCATGGTTATAAGAGCAAGTTAAAGAAAGTTCTGTCCTTTCTTTCCTACCAGCCATCTTCATGTAAAAATAAATGTGTCCAACCATAACAATAAAAAAAATAGGTCTACATCTAAAAGTACCCATTTTTAGAATTACCACAGTTAGTGTGCTGCTTCAGACAAGAAATGCTTTGATTTAGAAAAGAATTGAGTAGTCCAAACACCGTGCAACTCCTGATAACTCTCAGTCCTCCTAGGACAAAGAAGGCTTTACCTTCACATCCAAAATACAAACAAACATTTCATGTACAAACTTTCTCAGAATCATAATACACCCCAAACCACACATTCCCGTGTTGTCAATACTCCAAACTGACTTCAAGTGCCCAGCATGTGAACTACAGACTGTTGATAACTTAACTTTTGTTATGCTCATTAGAATTAGGAAAGTGTTCCTTAAGCTAGGGTTAAAACTTTTCTTGTGGGAACCAAAACAAGAAGTCATTTAACAGCTTTAATTAGCACTGAAAACAGATTTGGGTTGGACTCAAGACAAGACTGTAAGTCATCATTTTCAGTGTGAGTTAAACACTTACCTCACATTTTGCAGGACTATATTCAGAATCCGTGTTTAGTTTCACTATAGACTTTAAAATCCAGTTTACATCAGAAATGGGATCCCTAAGTAAATGGAATTCCCTACGTCATCCCTCGGTGGGATGAGGGCTCATGTAGGGAATGATTCAAGTGGTGAATCAGTAATTCTGCTGAGATTTGGGCTCTTGCTACAAGCACGGCCACAAAGAGGGAAAAGGGGACCTTTTAAGTAAGCATTAGTGTGTAAGTGTTCCAGATAACCACCAGCTGCAGCTGGCTTGAAGAATGAAGGTCAGACAGACAATAGTAGACTGCTCTAGAACTAAAGTAAGCAAATAAACAGGAATTCTTCCATGTGAACCATCCTTCTATCACCAGGAGAACATATACCTGGTGAAGATAGAATAATGTCATCTCTTTTTCAGAGAGATGCATCTATGGTGAACAATACAGAATAACCTAAAAATCTTTGTCTCAGAGAGATTTATCCTTCCAAAAAGGATTGTAACATCTTTCTTCTCTATGAACCATCCTTTTTACTGAGTTATATGGGCCACACTGGCATTGCAATGGCATTTGAGTGTTACTCCAGGGTCAATGTAAAACACCAGCATGCAGTAAAAATGACAATACGATATATTAGTTTTATTATCTGTTATAACATCTTGTCTTGCTATAATCTCATTATATTGTGATGTAACTTCCCAATGGATTCTCAAATTCACTTGAGAATCCCTCACTCAAAATGCAAGTGCTTGTAGTATCTGGAAGGAGTTGCATTCAGTGGATATGAAACTCTCAGTTAGGAGTCAAAAAATACTCTTTAAAATACAGTTTTGTTTAGACAGATAAGGTTCATTTTCATGGCATTGCAGCCACACAGTTCTTGAAATATGCCAAGTTTTTCAGGTTTCTCAAAGGAACAGTCATCAACTTCCCTGCCTGGGTGGAAATGCTGGGAAAGATCAATTCCTCTGTCCATATCATACCCAACTTTTTCCATTTTAGACCTAAATCCTCATTTATGCTTTGTTTGTCTCCACCACTGAAGTCGGTGAATCTTGAAAATGCCTTAAATGTGAATGTAATCAGGCTACTAGAACACACATGGAAACCTATGAAAGACATCCAATCCTAGACAATAATTAATTTACATATATGATTTCATCATGCCCTGACGTGAATGGATATCAAGAAAACAAAAATCTGCCCGCATTTCGCAACACAAAAAACCCTAAATATCAGAGTCCTTCCAAAACCATCTTTTATTTCAGCAAAAAAGTAGATCACACTCTCCTGTTCTTACTGCGGCCTAAAAATAGATTCCTTTTAGGGACCATCTTTTGAATGCAAATACGTAAGCAGGGGGGGAAAAAAACACCAGTGAAAAGGAAAGGAACAGACATTTCGGAAAGGTTTCAAAACCTAACAAGTGGCCACCTCCCTCCAGAGCAGCTGCTGCCTCCGTATCCTTTGTACAGCACATTAGAATAAAGCATATGGTGGGGAGAGCTGGCAAACAGCACTTCCTTCCCTGCACTGTTTCAGCTCAAAATCTATATGCCAAACCCAGCCTCCTTGCAGATTGTTCTTGACAACCCCTTTGCAGAAGCTGCTGCCTTTGAAAACTTCCTGCTGGGCGGGATCTAAATTTATTGCTCGCCGAGCGCCGTTCGTGGCACCTGGAAAAACAATTCCCAGGGCAGGCCAGAAGGGTTTGGTTTGAATAATTAAGTAGGAATTACTTCATTGACTCCTCAGAGAATGAAAACCCTCTGAGAACAGGGGAGGGAAAGCCTCTGAGCTGAGCTTTGCCAGTGGGAGCTCGGTCGATTGTGACGTTTCTCAAGGGTTCCATGAAGGACCTCCTTCAAGGCACAGATCAGCTACAAGCTCCACCAGCCTCTACCAGGATCCAGACACCGATTCAGTGTCTTCCTCCAATCACGATTTTCCCTCTGATCCCTGCAAAACTTTTTTCCAAATGTTTCCTCCGAGCCTTTTGTTTTATTCAACAGCAACATTTCAGTTGCGAGCGAGCACTTGCGTGTGAAAGAAACCACGGACAGATGTTTCAATAAGAGCTGTTACAACCACCAGATCGAAATAGGTTTTTAGGTCAAAGTACAGCTGTGTTACCAAGGCTTAAAAATACCAATCCAAAGCCAGTATTGACCTGATAGTGAATTCGGATTACGAAGGGAATTTTCAGAATTGTTTCGCTGAAAAATAATTGACTAATAAACGAGTTTTAAGAAGGAAGAAAGATAAAACTGTGGGTGTAATTTATAGAGTGCTTCAATATTTAAAATTAGATTAGGAAAATATAGTGCTTTCATTTTTGCCATAACACTTCTAAACCTCATTTTTTTCATTGGCCCTTCTGATGTGGAAAGAGAGGACTTTGCAAGAAGACCCAAGTAGTCTTTTCAAATTAAAATGTTAGGATTTCACATATTTTCTAAAGTCTTAGTTTTTTTGTAATTCTCCTGTGTTCTACAGATCGAACTATTCTTTTAGAATAATGATGGTTGTAAATATACCAATTTATTAAGATAAAACATGAGCTTTGCTAGAGCGTTATACTCTTATTAAGTGTTCTATTAGAACTCAGAATCACAACAAATAGAGAAAAACCAAAATTTTCAAAATTTAATTGCAAAAGATTTACAGTCCATAAGCTATTTACTCAAACAAAAGAGAAAATGGAATTAAACATGATGTTAATAAAATGAAAACTAACCAAGAGGGATGAACGCTGTTCGAACCATTTAAAAATGACTGTTTATTTTAGAGAAAAACTTCAGAATTAAAGGAGCTCTTTTTAGGCAAGGATTAAGAAAACTTTGCTCGGCTAAATAAAGTTTCCAGTTACAAAATGGGAAACATTTTCAGAAGATGTGCTGGCAATGAGAACCCAGTAATTTCAGCCATCAGCTGGTCTAGCTGCATTTAGGATTTCCCTGGGATTCTAATGTCAGAGAGAAGGTTTAACCCCAGCTGGGAACCAAGTATCACACAGTTTCTTGTTCACTACCCCTTCCCCCTCTGATGGGATGGGGAGGAAAATCGGGAAAAGGCAAAAGCCATGGATTTTGATAAGAATAGTTTCATTACAAACACCTGGCATCAGCTGTGCCCCACTAAAATGCTATGAATTTATTTTCATGAAGTCTCCAGGAATAAAAATTAGCCTTTAATATCTGTGCAGATTCTGATCTTTGCAACCCTTGAGGACAGACCTCAAATAATATTTTTGACTTGACTGATGAGGAAGATCACAGTTTGTCCCTCAGACTGTTTGGAATTTTGAGTGTTTTCATGTTACTGATTAAGAAGTTGCCTCTGGTTTACACAGAGCACAGAGAGGAACTTTCTTTGTGACAACATACGTGCTGTTTCACAGCTCAGAATCATGACTGCAAAGCACAATGCTGTGGAAATTCAGCTAAAATAAAGTCAAGAGTCAGTTTGAATTGGGGTCAGCATAAGGGATTGAGAAGAACAGTTAACAACTTGGAGCTGGTTGTGTAATCACTTTGGCACCAGAAGTGCATGACTTTACATACTGTCCTGAGCTCACTCACTAACTTAAAGTCCAGCGTTTAGAAGTTCAAAGGTTTGATGGTTTTTCTTATTTTTTTGCACACCACTGAGCAGACTGAAGTAGGTGGTGCCATTCACTTTTATGCCTGTTCATCAGAAAGTAAATTTATCTCCAAATTTACTAAATTTTACTAAATCTGCCTTCAGAGGATTAAAAATACTTATATATTTTACTATTACAGGCTTCTTCCTTTACTTCATTTCAATTTCAAGCAAAGGACTCCAATTCCAAAGAACCAGAGGTCCACATCCCTTCAGGATAGCGAGCTGCTAAATTCCTGACTTTGACCAGTTTGCACCATTTTTGGGGGGGTCCAATGATCTCACGTTCGCAATTACAAAGGCCTATTGTACAAATGTTTGGAATTTGGTTCTAAACCAAACAACAGAAACTGTCTGGGAACCCTTTAACAGGTGCTGTATATGCTGTGGTAACCAGGACTGGGCATATTT